TTAGGATCATTAGGGCCTGGGCTCCAGAGGATGTCCCAATAAGACAGCAAACATTAAAAGATAAATGAAATAGTTTGAAAACAGGATTTAGAATTCCATGTGGTTTGACACAGACCACAACTTATCAGCATTTCAAAGGAAAAGTAGATAAAAAATCTAACAAAAGACTAACTGACTGAGTTAACTGACAATAGTCAATTGTTGGTCGGAAGTATACAACCTATTCTGATAGTTGATTATGAAATCGTAACTGATTCCTATCACTATCTTGAGGCCATGGATGGTTAACACCCATCAGTCTGATTAATAAGTAGATATGGATCAAACTCACTAAAATCAGACCTTTTACCATGTCTACTCCAATTAGGTACCTATCTCCAAGAAGGTTATGTCAGGTTAACCCAAAGCTATCAAAATAATGGGCATGAAGGAGAAATGAAATAACAGCCAAAAGAAAGCCTTATGCTGCCGACAGAACATATTGAAAGAACAACAGGGTATGCATACCCACAACATAGCACAGTCATTATTACTATTCATTCTGACCTGCCCAGTTACATTCATTTTCAAGAAACAAAAGTCACATATGCTGTTCTGAATTCTTTGATCGATCAAATTGCTGATTTAGAAGCCTCGACACAAATTTGCCAATAAGTAAGTTCGCTTATTTTGACCTCCTATCTAGGGTTAATCAGATCTTGACGGACAGGGGTATCGAATTGGAACAATTGAGATTTGAAATGAATGCACATAACTAGCTCAGGTCTACAATCTGAAACAACTGTCAACTGTCTTTGGCAAATTCAAAGCCCAAGTCTAGTAAAATCTAATACATTCCAGTAGGATCAGATTATATAGTTCATATTCTAACACTCAAATTCTACAGAAAAGGAAGTTAGGTTCAGACTAGTAGACTCCAACGTCTAAAATGTCCACATGCTTTGGCATGTTTAACAGCTAAGTTTGTGTGTTGTTTAATACCACAATACTCCAGATATGATAGCGGCCAGACAGTCCAGTGACTGAAACCCAAGCATTGATCCAATTACCGTATTCGACGTAATAAGCGCCCAGGGCGCTCTCAAATTTAGAAATAGGGGGCTCTTATTGGAATATCACTTTGGTGAAAAAAGAGTTGGAGGATTGTAAATTTCGTGGTTTAATGCTGACAGTCTGAAATGTTTACATACGACAGATATATTTAATTGCCCATAAATAAGGGCGCATGTAACACACAAGTGTGTATTATACGCGAATAAATAAGTATTGTGTACATTGATCAAACGGAAGGGGTGCTTATTAGGATTCTTCACTAGCCAATATATTAACAAATATTGCTGTGGGCGCTTATTAGAGCGGGGCGCTAATTACGTCAAATACGGTAATTGGAATATGATGACATGCAATCAACCAAGTCACTGAGCCTGACCAAATGATCCATTTAGTTGCCTCATACAAGCAAAGGTTACTGGGGAAGACCTAAGACAAAAGTACCTATTCACATGACATGACCAGTTTGTGGGCTGTGTTTTGGTATTAATTTCAGTATATTTTAGCATGTTTAGTCTTTGTTTATTGACTTGGATTAGCTGATCCTACTAGGCTGAAGGAAAGTTTACCAGACTTGGGTTTTTGTAAAGCCTTGCACTTGCATGTAGCAGATGTAGCTGGTATGGCAGTGAGCTTTGTGAGCCTATGTTAGATAATAAGGTATATACCTCTCATGTTTTTGTGCGCAACACTTTGGTATCAAAGCAGGATACATGTATTACATTTACACTGGTCATACTCATTGTGTTAGGTTCACACCATTCATGTTGTATCTTATTACAGAAGTCGGCAGTAAATATTGACAGATCATAGGGCAAATCTGGTCCTCGTTCCACTAAGAGATTGTACTTGTAGCGCTTTACAGTCCTGGAATTCGAACCAATGATCAGAGGACATGGCAGGGCAAGGCACACTCAGCAAAAGGAGTCCAACTCTAGTCTAGAATGATTTGGCAAGTCTAGATTGCCTCAGCTCAGCTCCTGAAATAAGGGTTGTTCTGGGCTCCATGTGGAATTTATTTTTATTATTTTGTAGATACATATTTTTTAAATAAGATAACTTTATTTCTTATAATGGAGGTGTCTTCACGCACAGAGGTATCATATCAGAATAAAAATCTGATTGTAATGAGATTTAATAGTACATGGCCTTATATTCTTAAGTTACCTAGTTATAGTAAAGAGAGTTTTTATAACTGTAATAACATGTCCTTACATTGTAACTCATAAATGTGCTCCTATCTTCAAAGTGTACTTTGTTGACTAATGCTGCACTATTTATTTGCAAACATTTACACTGCCATGAACTTGGTAAGAATTTCTACAACAAATTCATAAATAAGATATTCACATTTACTTCAGTACATTTCAATTTAGACTCAAATGTACAAAAGTTGTTCATTATTTAACACCACACTCAGCAATATTTCAGCTATATGACTTCTGCCTATAAATACTCAAGTCTGGACCTGACAAACAAGTGATGCATATTATTAGCAACGTCCCACGCTGTTGGGGTGCGAACATACACAATCAACTAAGTCAATGGGCCTGACCACCTGATTCAAGGAGTCACCTCCTATGACAAAGATACTGGGAACTGACTCTGACCAGGAATCTTAACACTGGTACATGTCATGATTGCTGTCTGTGTTGTAAGTAAGATAATGCATCAGGAAAGTCAGCAGTTGCTGAAATTTACCCATGCTCTCAGCTAAAATGTCAAAAAATACCAACCATGTCACATCCTATCAATATTCTGCAACCACCATGCCAATCCCCAATAACAGGCTTCACTTTTTTGTTGTCGATTGGATCCTAATATTGTCAACTGCCCAAGCTCACATTTCCGTAAATAGTCTTTCTATTACCAGTCTGTAACATTAGCCACTAGACCGAAGCCTGAGTCTGATAAATAAGATTTCAGTCAAGTGAGCTTTGCTTTTAAAAGTCCATACATTAACACGAAGATCTACTGAAAATGATGTCAAGTGAAAGATTTGGGGAAATAGACTCAAATGTCTTTGGCAAAGACTGTATTACTAAATTTAATATTGGGGAATCAGCATCTAAAGATGGGATTGATATTCCATAATTTACCAGCAGTGAGTACTGTTAAGCGCTTGGAAATTTATGATCATATTTTTACGAGTACATTTCCAAGCCATCTTGAGTTACCGCATTTTCTTGAGTATAGTGCACACCCAAGTATAATGCACACCCCCTCTAGCTGATTCAGCATGTGTTCAGTATTTTGAAAAAAAAAATTCAAATAATATGCTCTGAGAAAAATTACACCGTAACCCTTCAGCGAATTCCGGTAAACGAATGGATGATAAGAAACTTGGGATGGTCAGTACAAATTTGAAATTTGAGATAAAAATTACCAGACATGTTGATTTACCGTTTAAATTGTATTTTTTGTTCTGCTAGGCATTGTTTTACATCCAGGGATTAAGATTACCATGTGTATTTTCTCATAAACTAAGCCGGACACAGCTGTACACATGTTTTCTTGGAATCTACCAGTGATTCTGTTAAAACTTAACCAATGATATAACTTTAAATGATTTTGATGCAAGGATTGGAAACAATTGTATCTGAAACTATGATTTTATCAGGAATAAGATATTCCAATATCATGTTATTTTAGTTGCAGCTTTTATTAAATATATTTAAAATAATAATAACCCTAAGCATAGCACTTCGGTGCAGCTGATCGCTATTGCCGATTATTTTTTTCACATGGAACAATTTGACCAGTCACCGTCGAGGCTCCCGCGCATGTGATTGCGAGAAGTACATGTTGTCAACTAAGGTTCGTTTCAAGGCGGTACCTTAGCTCTGTTCTATATGTACACAATCGCAAATACTATCAACTTTCTATCATAATTGTTGGCTTATTTGACTTTTAGCATGTTTAGTTATCCATTTGGAATAGAAACAGATTATTTACAGATCTGTTTACAAGTTACCCCTTTCATGTTTTCTGTCTCCTTAAAAAGGGCTTTCCTTTTATCAGCCAGTCAAATATCTTGCTATCCTTGCAATCTGTAACTTCAGTTACCAGTTCCAAGCCCAAGTCTAGTAAAATTCTGTTCAGTCTAGAAAGCTGAACTAGTAATAGTCCATGGAACACTCAAATGTGAAATTAATACTTTAGAGCGATGTTTAGGTGATTAGAATCAAACGGTTTGATTTTTGTTGTTGTTGCTTAACACTGCACTCAGCAATATTCCAGCTATATGACGTCAGTCCTTAAATAATCCAGCGTTAGAAATAGGCACTTGTCCTGTAGTCCTAACCAAACTGCCTAATAGTAAAGGTATCCTAAGGACTAGTAGAAATTGGCCCATTTTAAGGGTTTTGCTAAATGTTATCATTATAAGGACTAGTGGACAAAAACTGTTAGTTTCTTATCCTGTAATCAAGTCTGGACCAGACAATCCAGTGATTGCCAACATGAGCATCGATCCACGCAATTGGGATACGATGACATGCATCCACCAACATGATGGATGGGGAGACGGATGGCACTAGGTCATGATGACAAGTACTCATACAACTAATCTATTTTACACTGAAAAGCACTTAGGGAAACGTTGGTTGTACGACGCAAGAGCAAAAGCAACAATCACATTAATTTACAATGTACACACATAGGCCTAGTGCGAATATTGCGTGTTTTTAGTGTTGGCAGCTGCTCATTGTAACAACAACTTTCTCATCAGTGATAAAATCGTTGCCACTCTCTCCTAACACAAACGGAAACCTTGAGATAATAGCTGGGAAGCACGAGAGGTATCTCAGTTGACACATTAGCTGGATGAGTTGCCAAAGCGAGAGATCCCACTCAGACGTAAACAACGTCCATGCCGAACAGAGACCATCCCGACCTCGATTTGTCGGCATCGTGAAAATCACGCAAGGGTTGGAGTTGGAGGAACTTACCTGTATAAATTGTATAGTTAAGGCACTTTTTCCCACTCCTCCGCCACCGACAACAACTAATTTATAACTCTGGCTGTATCCCCCAGAATCCGGATTGCGGGACATTGTGTACCCACCCAATGACACTGACCTTACAATCCTTTGCGGATGTTTTCATGAATAGATTATATTTTCCTCACAACTGCTGTTAGTGTGTTCACAGCAGGTGCCCGTCTGTTGGTCATGAACCGATGTGTAACAGAACTTTCCGATTTGATGGAACGTATTCAGACCCTTCTATGAACTCTAATTTAGTACGACTGCATATAATATTGCATTCATTCAGGAGCCGCTATGGGAGATATAAAACGGGTACAGGCTGAAACGTCACCAATTTCTCATTTGGCGAAAACGACTACTACATATCGGGCGAAATCGGCACCTCTATTTTTAATAACGATAAGAGAGATTTATGTAGTTGTATATATGCTTTAGTTACATGCTTTATAATGCTATGTTCTGGTACTTATGCTTTATTTACATTGTCATGGTCTTGTATTCCAACGTTATTCACAATTTCATAATAAATAATAATTATTGTATAATAATAAATACACACAGTTTCAGCTTGAAATTGAGTTAATTTGAGTAAAGGTATTTAAAACTTCAAAGCATGTGATGATGTTTTCACAATAAGTTTAGTTGCGCCTCCCAATGAGATATGGGCGAGTACATTGGAGTAGAGGAGTAATTGACTTGTCAATTAACGCGCGCTTAGTGTATTAAAAACATTCAACCATATAGCACTGATTTGTTCCATCTGTACGTCTGCCTATATTTTTTAATCGAGGATATGTTTTCGGAAAACGATAACTTGACCAGGAAATAATAATAATGCAAAGGCACAAAATATTTATGAAAAAAAATTAGTTCATTTGTGAAAAAGCAACGACAAAAAATACGATCGAATGTTTAACACAACATATGATAAGAATGTGCTGTAGTTAATCAAACAGTGGAAACCCGTAATTTACCCCTTCATGGAGTGTCATTGGAAAAGGAATGTCCAGAATATCGAGTGTCCACTATAGTGAGTGTGTATGGTTTTACGCCGCTTTTAGCAATATTCCAGCAATATCACCGCGGGGGACACCGGAAATGGGCTTCACACATTGTACCCATGTCGGGAATCGAACCAAGGTCTTCGGCGTGACGAGCGAACGCTTTAAACACTAGGCTACCCGACCGCCCCTCCACTATACTAAAGATTGACAATCTCATGGCATGATATGTCGTTCTCAGTACATCACATGTAATACGCTTCTAATCAGTTACTGAACATTTGTGTGCATGACGTGTTTTTAGAGTTAGAAACATGTTATTATATTTTCCTGTTAGATTCCTACCTGAACTTCAGTATAACATAAAACTGTTGGCAAAACAAATTTGGTGACAGAATATTCTTTCTAGCTGGAACACTTTAAATATCTACACATCTATACACTCAGTTGACGTGATGTTGATATGAGCATGACATATTTGCTTTTAAACAAATCCAAAGATCAATGGTGCAATCCAAATAAACAATGAAATTCCATTTATTATTCAGATGTTACGTACATTAATGAGGTAATAAGTATAAGTTCTATTCCCATTTGAAAGTGAAAAACGATCGACAATTATCACGATCATACTTAACGTTCGAAAGTTCAAAATGTTCGGGGACTTATTTTTTTAAATTTGTTTGTTAAAGTAAAATATATAATGGAAATTGAAAACCTCTACGACCTTACGCCACTTAATTTATAGCCATTCATTTCACACTAAGCTGACACAGTGTCACGGCTGTATGAGATACTGCTCCGCTGTTGGTAGCCATACTTGTATATTTATTATATTTGATACACACAACTGATTCTCTTAATATGGTATGTGTAAATATAAGTAGAATGATATATGTGACCATCCCTATCAAAGGTTGAGTTGTATTTATATAACTATAATACTGTTCAAAGAGGCGATAAACCAAACTCACTTATTCTTCAATTATTTATTGATAACTTTGAAACTTTAATGATATATTAAAATATAATACCGATATTTTAAAAATAATTCAAGATATAAGTATTTTGGTAATAAATATGAAAACGGTTTGCCATAATTTCGCGTAACAAGATTGTTTACATCACGCCTGGATCGCACACATAAACATAACTACACAATTCGCTGTGCAGAGTTGCGTCCCTTTGGCACGTCAGAAACCAGTGGTTGTGGGTTCGAGTCCAGGTTCGCCCCGATTATGTTTCTAGGTTTGTCAGCACCATATCCGTGCACGTGGGTTTCACCGAAGTGGTAAACGTCTGAGACCTGCATCACTTCGGACTTTCCTCCCACATTAAGCTGACACGCCGTGATATGATTGGAATACTGTAACTGAGTGTTTAAAAGCGGCGTTCAACCCAAATCACTCTCAGTTAACCATACTGATACATACAATCCAATAGACGTAATTTATAAACATGCGCGAGACGATGCACGTGGTAAACTATAATATCGCTTATATACAGCAAAAGGTTAATAAGCCTGACTAACTTTCAACTATGGGCCATAACAAAGTGAACTAGTCAATGTAGTACATTGTTTGAGTAGTTAATTACAAGTGTATTTGGTCTGTTGGGTCCGTTTGTATATTAGTGACAGATAGTTGCACGTGAAAGGGGTCCAAATGGACACGGAAATGGTAAAAGAACGAGTACCGAATAGTCATCAAGTTTTTGACTTTAGAGAAAAGTACTCCCTAAGAAATACATGACCGCATATCACAATTGTATGGGGATAAGTGTACTTGTTGTTCCCCTGTTAAACGTTGGGCAGCTTTGTTTCAGGCTGGGAGAACAAGGCTTGATAATGTCATGTACTACTTCATGACAATGCCTCTTCTCACACCTCTCGACTGCGACAATGTGGGTTCGAAGAGCTTCCTCACCCTCAATATTCACCAGACCTGGCACCAAGTGATTTCCACCCGTTTCCTAAACTGAACGAACACCTTCGTGGAAATCGCTATGACTAAAACGATGACCTCAATTCTGCCGTGAATGTTTTTTTCTGGGTGGCTTCAGAAAGCTTCTTCCTGACTGGAATTGAAAATCTTTACTAATGATATGAGGAGTGGATTGAAAAACAGGGAGATAATGTTGAAAAATAAAATTAAAAACACTTTCACAATTGTTGGTTTTGTTTGTTAGGCTTTTTGACCAGCCCTACTATACACATGAAAGTTGGATTTCACCCCAAAATTACAACCGCGATCAAAGCGTCACTAGGCCGAACAGTCGTCGAAACACTGAAAACATAAGGTCTAAACACAACTGTGATACCCGTATCAAATGACCATCGAATAACCATTTCTTTGTTTAAAATGTTAAACCAACATCAAACCATGGGTGTATTTTGCGCATAATACCGGAGGGCACATTTAACATATAAGTTCTAAAAAGCAGGGAGGTGCGTACCCCCTGCACCCCAAACACCCCACCCCCACAAATTGAAGATATTAACTTTAAAAAATGTACTAGTTGTTGGAGGACCATAATTATCGACACATTGTCACACTGACGTCAAACTAGAACAATAGAGCTCACTACTCCCACCACCTTCTTTGTTTGATGTAACAATAGAATGTTGTCCCGAAATACTGAGGACGAAACTTACATAACTCTATTAGATATGTTACTTAATAATCAATATTACTGCTGTGATGCCCCCCGCAGAAGTACTGAAACGTGACGGTCTTTGTGCCCTTGCGATCGGTTTGCTAAAAATAGCGATGACGAAAGTCTCACAATATCTGTTACTCGAAGAATGCTGAAGGGAGTAAACAAGAAAAATATTATAAAATACAGTGAAAAGGGAAACATTTATTTAGATCACATTATAAATTTATATTATGAAGATTCAGCACTTTGAAACGAAAACCTTGCAATTTACCCAAACGTTTACATTGATCGCATGTTTTAAACTGCCAATTCGGCTAGTATGCAAATGCCTCTGTGCTATGTATAATAACTATCACATGTATCTAAGTAATATGATTTAAATAATAAATATAGATGTAATGTACAATAGAATGTTGCTCAAGTAGTGTTTACACAAATATTAGTTGTACATGTAATAGTATATGTTAGCTCTACGCTCTGCCGACAACAAACAAAATATAAAAATCACGCCCAAACAGAAAAATACATATTTTTATATTTATTACATTATTTCAATCATTCGTTTACCATTTACAATACATTTTTCTCATATGTATCAACGATATGAAAATACGAAAATCTAATGAAAAGTACAGCTTTGTGTCATGTTCGTGACGTAGAGCAATATGAACGGATCTGATTGGCTAAACTTCGCGCAGCGAATTTGAAGTTGCTGTGTGTGTTTCGGTAAGTTGAAAGTTTACTTCCCGTTTAATATCATCATTTTAGCAAATATTTGCAATCTGATCAACGTAGTATTTTGCATGAGATCGGAAGGAAGGCATCTGCACATAATCGTCTCTCTTGATCACTCTATCAACAACGTGTAATCGTAAACTAGCCAATATCTTAGGAAGGCCGTGGCGGTGCTGTGTATTTTACTGTGACTCGGCCAGATGATGTAAACATGACATGCTACTATTCTAAAAAGTCAGGAGCGGCGTTGTGATCTTAAAGGTAATGAACTTTTGTGTGTTGTGACGCTATGATAGACTGATTGGCAATGCCGATCAATGGTCTACATAATGCATACCAATTTATTGATATTATTCATCAATAAGTAGAAAGAAGAGTGATAGGCCTATTTATGCACATTTTTCGACAGTCTTCTCTAATGTCTAAATCCGGCAATCAAGTACTTGAATCTATTACACGTGAATCACCTATTCTATGACATAATTACAAAGCTAACAAATCAGTCATAATACCACGTTGACTTCTGTTTGGGTTTTTGAAAGTTAACAAATTCTTGCAGGACAGGATGTTCTAGTAAGGTGGTTCCACAAGTCACTTGTCCAATATAATCAAAACAGGTTGAACTTGAAATGAGAAAATATATGTGCAGAGGTTTCTTACAGCGCTTGAAAATATTTGCTGGGGATTGTCATTGACAGCTAGATTAAAGTGGGTGACACTGCTTGTACGGGACGTTTGGCTTTCACAATATCTTGCATTTGCTATAATTGAAATATTATCTTAACTTCTTTGTCAGTTTTGGTGGTAAACATGAGAATTTAGAACTGCAGTATTCCCCAGTGTGACCTTTTCAGCTTACATGTCAGTTTTCCTTACTGACCTAATGCAGACACATTGTTACTTAGACATGCTTTAGTTAGACAAATCACAATGTTAGTACTCATGGTACAGGCATGAAAAGGGTTTGAATTTTAGTGTCCACCTTAACCCTCTGGATGCCGAGTTTTTTTTCTGACGCACATTTTCCTAAGATCGGAAAAGTGAAGTTTGTGCGAGAATTGCGCTCACGCGGCACTGGATCTACCTCTGGCTATAAAATTACGCAGAGGTGGAGAATATGAAATTTCTTATTTAATAGTGTAAATTTAACTGTAAATATCAAACCGGCTTTTAAAAAAGACACTCCTAAGTGTTGTCTGAGAATTTATTCTGCGTTGAAAAACAGTAAATTTCTCCGCTTTTTATCGTACACCGATAAAAGTACCGTGCGACATTTTTTTTTATTAAGAAGCTTTACGGAAACTGTGAGCGAACAAAATAATGCCTAATATCTGAACGACATAATAACATATCAAATGGAGTTATATGCGTATGTATAACGACATACATTCAATTCCAAAAATAGCATGCCGTAAATGACGAAAACTGATTTTTCTCTATGACGTCAAAAGGTGACAGAGAGGTTACACACGTACAAAGAAAAGGGGGCATAACTCCGCTATGCTTAGCTCTAGTTTGTTGTAACTCAGGTCACTTGGTGAGAATTAACTGTGGGTAAGGACAATATATTTTCGTGGTATTTTGTTCAGGAGGAACCAAACTATTCCGACACAAATATCAATATTGAAACTGTACACGTTTAGTTATAAAATATACCCATCAGAAATGATGAAATCGTACTTCATAAAAAGGAGGTAATAGAGAAATGGATGGCCTTATCTAACCTATAACTTTGTCCTTAGATTCCAACATTCTCCTGATTGTGTAAGTGTAATTTGACTAATGTTGCATCATTATTAATGGAGCACAAGCCTCATCACCAAATGTTATGAAATACCCTAAAAATAACACGATACCTTTTGACGTCATGGCTGGTTTTATGTCTTCGATAACGTCGGAAAAAGACGACACTGGTATTTTGATTAATATATATCTCCCCTAATTTTCGTTCATGGTATGGAAAATCTCGATGTGTGAAACGGAATTTGACGCTTTTTCGACACAACATAAAATGACTGCTCTCACCAAGTAAATATAATGTCTTGAATATGTAAACAATTAGAACGTTTATCGTGTATCTTAACTGGACAAGACACGCACCTGTTTGGCATCAATTTACGTAATGAAATTCCCAAAAGAATATTTCAAAACAACCAGAATTATATTCAATATTGGACATATATTTGTTCATGATTATGCTATTTTTTCTTACACAATAAAAGATGCAAAGAAAGCTCTATTGGTATAGAATTATCAGGGTAATCGTATATGTTTGAACCAACGGGGTACCTGGCATGGGTTTTATTTTTATACATTTTACAATTCCTGGAGAAATAAAGTAAACCGTTTACTATCCTGTGATCACAATATTGAAACAATAATGTAACCATTGATTATATAATGCAAAACGAGAGGAATAATTCGTAAATTGTTTGTGACTAACGCGCACCTGGTGAATCGTTAGATATCACTGTTCCCTGAATCCAACGACATAAAAGACAAATCCAAGACCAAGACATTTCAGAAATGTGTGCATATATTTTACCGAAACATATTATCCATTTTGTTAAAGTAATATATTAAGTTTTAGTTATAAAATAAAATGAAACGGCTGTTCATGGACATTGGTTATATGAACTTATAATATTGACTTATTACACATCCCAAGAAATATGTACATGCTGCAGTTACATTTACACTTCATCTTGTAACACTTGTCCAAAGGAAAGAAATATCGTAGTCGACACTATAAACCTATCACATTGTTATGTAAACAATGTTCAAACAAACAGGAGATTATCAAAGGTTCCTTCATACATGTTGTGGCCTATAATTATGTACGTATGATTTCATTTTGAACATTGACAAATATCCAAAGTGAAATTAATTGTGTGAAAAAATGTATAAAAGACATGCAAAATATACACCATAACTGAAACTGTAAACAGCATGATACAGTGACCGTGTGCACTCTCATTCAAGGACCTTCACCTCAAAGAAATGACCAAATATGTACAACAATGTTGACGTATGACATCACTACCTGTGACCCACTTTTACAAAATGGCGTGTACATTTTCAACAGTACGCGGGATTGTACGAGGGGACTTTCGTTGATTCAGGGATCGTATAAACATAAATGTGACATGTAAGTAATCAGAAACATTCTGACAATCTATGTACTGTTATTTGTTGTCATAATTTTCATAGAAACAAACGGAAATAGTCAGAAATTCCGATAAATGCCGTTGTCGTTGTGCGTGATTTTGCGTCAGTCATGGCGTCAACCAGAACGGTAACTTTGACAACTTCTGTTGAAAATATCTAATCATTGCAATGTATCTATTTGAAATTCCGTACTTCTTCCTACGATTCTCTTCCCATGCATGTTCTGAAAATGTTGAGCCAATATCTTGAACGAATAGACGAATGGATAGCTCAAAATAGGAGAATATGCTACACTGTGTAAAATCTGAATTTTGCTTTGTTTACATTTCAACCATGTGCAGTTTTTCGAGCACAGCGTTCGTTTTCACACCTAAGTTATTTTGCTTGATTTCATCTAGCCACTTTGTATTGGTGACAAAGACCACTGGTCATTTGATTCTAAAATGTATGAGGAATTCAAGGATGTAGGTATTGCAGATAAGTTTGAAATATACGTGATGTTACAGGCTTCTCATAACCGGTGTACCTGAAACGTGATTTTGTAAACACTATCCAATATGGCGGAAAGTTCACTTCGGCGTTCGTGTTTTCGTTTTTCCCAAAACATTCTAAACGATTCTAGGGTTATCGGAGACGTTTTGGAATGATCATTGGTGATTTCATAAAAGACAGATACCCATGATCACTAATATGCTATTTTTGAAATTCATTTCTCCGAGTAAATATCTGAAATTTAGATTTCAAAACATGCTGTAAATAACGCCGTGAGTGGTGATTTAGTAATGTGTAAAAAATGGCGACATTTACGATGTACCTAATTTTCAGAGGTCATGTTCAGTACTTTTGCTTGGCCTAAAATGGCAGTGGATGATATCACAGGACAGGGAATTTCTCACCTTATTCAAAACTGTAAAGTGTTGTTGTGTGGGTGATGTATTTTGAATTTTATTCGACTTCAAAGTGAGGGTTGTAGAGGAGGGACATATATGTCCCTCTGGCATCCAGGGGGTTAAAGGGGCACTGATCTAAAGCAATTCCCAGGGACTGATTGTTACCTTTGTTATTGTTTTTTCCCAGTGAGTACCCGGCTGTATAGCAGAAATTTAGACTAGTTCGTGACCTGTGCTGCGCCATTCGTAAGCGCATTAGTCACTTTTATAGGGAGCAATAAGGGCGTATGGTCACATTGATCAACAAAATGAAATACAGTTTTCGAGATAATATGGAAATGTAGGTATCTTTGTGTAAGTCACTTGCTTGGTAATTTTGCAGTTTTCGTTTACACTATTTTGACTTGCAACACAAAGTACCTATTTCACCTGAGCTTTGCTTTTTTTGTAGTGTGAATATATTTTTACTGTCAAAATGTGTAACATTTTCAAATTTATTAAACGCCTAAGTATTCAGTTATTTTACAAATTGACTGAAAAACATTTCCATCTGTATTATTATGATAACGAATTCCAAACATTTTGATGTTTAATGTCATCACCCAAGAGACTGAAAGTATTATGTTGAAAAGTACATTTCTATGTTGTTTGGCTTCTAATCCTACATAATAATCTGCTGTGATGTTTTTAGGCCCTTTTCATCGTCTTAATCAATTTTAGTCAATCTGGACAGATTTTTCAGTCAAAATGACTGAAATATTTACACATTTTATAAATTGCCTGAGAGAACTGAGAGAATCACATTTTACAAATTGACGGTAATATACACGCTTACGAAGGAAAGGACTTCTATCACGCATTGAAGAATTTCCAAACCAAGACATAGAGGAACAAGAACGAATCGGTTCAATGCTACAGCAAATGAAGGAAAACAAAATGCAGATACCATAATTACAACCTACCAAATTTATGTGTATAATTTTAGGCAGCTTCTTCTTTGGAATGTATCCATGAATATCCACACAAAGAAACAATATCCCACTCGTCTGCAGCTGTACAAAGAAACTTATTCGATGTCACGTGTCTCTATAACAATAAAATATTTTAAAAGATATATATTGTTTCGGGATATTATAACCCGTGTTCGTTTCTCAACTGATCACTTAGATTGTTTCAGGTGTTTCACATAGGTGGCAAGTCTCAAGGGTCAGCTGAGAAAGTCCGACGTGACAACTATTTTCATAACGTCCAGGGTTCCTAAAAAATCCATTGAGTGATAGATAACAATGAGCAATCAATCAATGTATTATCAGTTAACCCTTTGAACAAAGTATGTTGTTTTTACATCGGCACTTCACGCCATGATTTGAGTGTATTCCCTTTGTTTTAGTAAACCTAGACATGTAAACACTCATTTTTGACACATCCATTGTGCAAGATAACAGTGATTTATCAATCAACATATTTTCTGTTAATCCTTTGATGACTAGGAACGATCAGTTGATTTACAAAAAAAAGTAAATCAACTGAACATTCATCTCTTGCTGGGCTGCCACGTGTATATTATATAACACACATTTCACCTCACTTAAAACTTGATTTAGATTGAATAATTACCCCAGACACAATAAATGCCAAATGGGAACCTTTGTCAGGTAATCTAAGTGGTGCTACCACTAATTGTACCTGTAACAAATTCATTAACTGAGCATCAAGTGAATGACGACAAATACACAAGTGTAGGGTTATACCAGAAAACGTGGATGACAACAAGGGAGTAGTAATCGTATTATTGACACAATCCGAAATCCAAAAATGCTTTCACTGCATGGATACTTTTTTTTTTATTAAACTATAACCGTCTGAGGTATATCCAAATGACGACATCCGATGAGCTCCGCCGTTCTTTTTGTCTGTTTGTTTAGGCTGAAGAAATTAATTAACATGCGCCCTTTGTGTAAATCTTTATAGATCACAGTTAACCAATCAGTGTTCCAAAATGCGTTAAGCAAATATTGCCTCCAAGTTTATTTAGCTGTCCTTGCAGACGGTAGCCCAGTTTCTGGTCACGCTCAGTTGTATTGCGTATCATCCGGGTACTCACGGAGAAAAAACAATAACAAAGGCAACAACCAGTCCCGGGAAATTGCTTTAGATCAGTGCCCCTTTAAAGGCCTTAAAAATCACAAAAATAGCTTGAAAAGCCTTGAATTTGTACAAAATGACGTAAACTTGTTAATTAAAGTATTAAAACACACAAAACTAATAGTTATGTACCAAGGATGTTAAAGTGTGATTTATCACAGAGATAGATTTGACACTTTGCCAGACATCTTGAATTCATGACAGACTTCATTTATTTTATTTCTTGATTGTGATCTATCTTGTTTGAAAATTTGTGATGTACATACCACTTTTTTAGGTCTTATGACTAATGTTTAGTATGGCCTTACGACTAATAACAATATACAGTATGCTGGATTTAAACATAATATTGAAATGGCCTTGAATTTTAGTGTTCCACATCTGAATGAACCATGTTAGAAGTTAAGTTGGGCGCTTGATTATTTCACCTGTAGTGAATCAAGAGACATCACACACATGCTCAACATTGAACTTTATCATAAGCCTAATATCGTGCTTCTGACAAAGATCCCTTGACATTCATTCTTTACTTCAAACACTGTATGAATCACATACACAAACTCTACCATGTCTTCTGTAGTGAGTGATACACATATAGTTTTACCAGATAGATCAACGTTAGAAATTGGCACTTGTCCAATAGTCCTTGCCAAACTGCCCAAAAGTTAAGGTATCTTAATTAAGGCCTAGTAGAAATTTGCTATTTTTATGTGTTTTGCTATATGACTAATGTTATCAGGATTAGTGGATGAAAAGACTTAGTTTCTAACGCTGTTAACATTATGAGAAACTGTGAAGTAGCATAGCAGTGTTTTGTTTCAGGCCATTGGAACCGTCAAGATGGCCAGACCACCGCAGGATGTTCCCCATACACTGGGGCTGAGAGTGGCCATGGATATGGCTGAAAATATTCGAAGAACCTTTGAAGAGCAATTCACTTGGTTAGATGAGATACTAGCAGTGTGCAAACAGTCTTTTGCAAGGTACAGCCTATTATTAGTTACTTTAGAAATGATATATTGGATGTGTGGTTCCAATTACATTGCTTTCAGTTAAAACTTAGTATGCTTATGATAGATCATGTTACATAGAGATTATTACACTTGTATGTGTTTCATATTAAAATGCATGTTGTAAGAAGCCCAAACAGAATCAGGTGGTCAGGCTCTTGACTAGATGCATGCCATCGTGTCCCAATTGCATAGATGGATGCTAATGATGTCAATCACTGGAATGACCAGTCCAGACTGCCATCACATAGCTGGGAAATTGCTGAGTACATTATTAAGATAGCTACATGATACATGGCAAAGATCAATGGAGAACAAGGCATTTATTTGATTTCACTATAAACCCTTGTTCTATGATGACATAATTTCTGGAGATTCAAACAACCACTTGCAACTTGCAATAGTCCAATCATATTTAGCACAGGAAAGCAAATGGGAAAGTGGGCTTGATGTTGCAAGGATGGTAACAAGACTTTGAGAAAAGGCTAGTGGATGCTCTCTTGGGAAGATGGGTCCAGACATGATTATGAAAAGACTGTCATCATATAGCTGGAAAATTGCAGAGTGTGGTGTTAAACAAGGAGCTAACAAAACTATCAAGTTTAAGGAAAGAATGGGACATGTAGTTATTTTCTTCGTCTGTAGGTAACACAGGGCAAATATTCTAATCCCTGATCGTGGGTTTCACCTAAGTGGTAAGTGGTGAAGATATGCATCACTTCAGGCTTTGTTTCAACATCAAGCTGAGAGGCTGTGATAAAACTGAAGTATACCTAGTTCAAAGCAGCATAAAGCCCATCTTCCCAAGGCAAGAGTGTCCACTTGCCTATATCAAAGCCTAGTTTCCACCCTTGCCATTTCAAGCCTGCTTTTCTTGGTTCAATCGTGGCAACTACCCTTGTAAGGGGTTGTACCTTGTGAGGAAAACACGATATCCAATCAGATCGCTGTTCTTATTTCAAATGGGGGCGGTCGGGTAGCCTAGTGGTTAAAGCGTTCGCTCGTCACGCCGAAGACCCGGGTTCGATTCCCGACATGGGTACAATGTGTGAAGCCCATTTCTGGTGTCCCCCGCCGTGATATTGCTGGAATATTGCTAAAAGCGGCGTAAAACCATACTCACTCACTCACTCACTCTTATTTCAAATGTCTACCATAGAAGACGACCTGGTCGATCAGATACCAAAAAGATTTGAGATATCATCCCTGACACAAACAAGATGACAATTATCACAGTAAAGCTCCTTATTACTGCCGCATTTTGGTCTTCCAATAAGAGGCGCACAGACTACACAGTACCATTATTAAACACATCATGTTAAAACAGCGCTGCATCTCAGCCACTGCAATACCTGTTCAGTCATTTGAGTTAAAACCCAATGAAGATTGCACTCAAAAAATACTTGGGCGAGTTGATTGAAAATATTTGTCTTCGCTTAATTTTTCGAATAATTTCAGCAGAAATCCCAGATGTTGATTTTGTAAAACATTCTCTGATAAAATCTTGTGGACACACTTGCCCCTGCGAGATACCCGAAGCCCGAACTAACTCATTCATTGACTAACTGACAAGCTTCACCCAGTATGTGCAGAAATCTGTTAACAACATATTTTAGGGAAACAAAAAAAATCTGAGGTAGATGTTTGGTAGTGTGGTCATGGTGGTAAGCAAGGATGAAAATCTTAAAATTACTTTACTAGACTTTCCTTTAGCAAGTTTAGAAACATGAGAAAAGTCAAAGTCAAATGGGGGCAGTCGGGTAGCCTAGTGGTAAAAGCGTTGGCTCATCACGCCGGAGACCTGGATTCGAATCCCAACATGGGTACCATGTGTGAAGCCTATTTCTGGTGTCCCCTGCCATGATATTGCTGGAATAAGGATAATGGCAGGGTAAAACCATACTCACTCACTCACTCACTCACTCACTCACTCACTCACTCACTCACTCAAAACCCAATGCTAGAAGTACATGTGTTGTAATGTGAGAACATGGTTAAAATATGCATACTTTCAATCTAAGGATGTTATAATTTGTGTCCAAATCCAACATATACTATCATGAATAGGTCTAGTGTAAAAACATTTTGAAGACAACAAGAATGATCTATTTCCACAACTTTCATACCAATGCTCACAAAACGATTGTAATTGATATGCTGCAGACCTGAAGTTGAACTTTTGCCTAAAACTCCATCAGCAAAAAGACGAAGAAAACCGCGCAAAGTGATTATTGAAGAAGACGAGGATGAGGAAGAGGAGCATAACACAAGGAGAACGATGTATGTTGGCAAATTGTTGGACAGTGGGAATTGGTTAAGATATTATTGATAATTGGCTTAAAAAGCAGTCAGTGATTGATTGAAGATCAATCATGAACATGATGAATAAGGATATTGGAATGTACATTTTGTTTTTGAACATAATGAGTATCTTTCGTCATGTTTGTCATGTTCATGTGAATAACCAACATTAGCATGATTAGAATTTCAAAAGCTTCTTATGAAATTGAATTTGAAATGTTTGCTTTTTGAACAAAACAAAAACTTCTGTTGGGACAGGGACCATTGAACTAGCATCAGGCCTCGAAATCTTGTCTGTTATCAGACTTTTGAACCTTGTAACTCAGGTTTATAATTCCAGCACATATTTATCAGAAAAAAAACTTATATAATTTAAAATAATCGTTCACAGATTTCTAGAGATGTCACGATTCACCCATTGTACCGATGCATCGGTAGATAATTCTCACGATACAATACAAGATACATTTAAATTTATATCGATACAAACTTTTATCGAAATCGGTATCCATTTGTTTGCGAATCGATTGATTTTGGATCGAAATGTCATATTTTCTGAATTTGACACATACGAAAACTTGTTTGAATAAACAGAATCAACCTTTTCTAAGTATAATTATTTTACAAAATAATCTACTGATAGTGATTAGGACACATAATTGTGAAAGTGATATGTAATTAAAAAGTTTGCTTCTAAATTTACGCATAAAAAGTCTATTGCTGTATCGAGATACGTAGCCCAAAATTGAGACACGTATCGAACTGTGGGGTACCTGTATCGTGACACCCCTACAGATCTCATGATTGGTTTCAGTTATACAGCAAGGAATCAATCGATGAATATCATGAGTATGAAATGGATTAATTGGAACATCATTAATCATGTTAATGTTGGAAGTGATTATATTTGAGAATATGATTTCTTACGGATCTTGTGTGCTATTGCTTATTTTGAAATGTTTATGACATAAAAACTGAATAACAGATTTTGAAATGTTTCAGTAAAGCCCGGGATCAAGAAGACATGGATGACTTTGAAGAAACATCTGCGAAACCGACTCGCAAAGGCCGATCAACCAGAGCAACTAAAGCAAAGAAAGCCACAGCAGAGATCAACACAGGGTCACAGAGGTCAACCAGAAGCACAAGGTCAAGGAAGAAAGATGTCAGTATGGAGGATTCCCCTGTGTACAGCATGGTGGCAGCCATGAAAGAAAGGAATGGAGGACGACTGCTTGGAGACCTACGGCAACTTGACGATTTAGACATTGATAAAACACCTGTTGCACGGCAGGTAGCAATCATCCGTAGTCCATCTCCCAGCACACCGAAGATCCGATCTCCAAGCACTGTCAAAAACACGGTCCGTCGTAAATTCAGTGTGAAGGACAAAGCCAGTGCATATGAGGAAATGTTAGCAAAAAGAACAAGTCAAAGCCCTGCCAGTCCACGATCACCATTAAGCCCTGTGAAGGGAAGCAGCAGGACGCCAGGGTCAACCAGCACTCCTCCCACCCCGAATACTGTTACCCAGACAACTAGAAGTACTGCTTTGAGACTGGAGAGTGACCGTCGGTCAGAGAGCCGTAGGTCATCTAGACAGTCACTCAAGGTGTTGGCATCCAAAGCTCGACTGTCCACCGCCAGGGGCAGGCCAAGTATGGGCGGGGCTACTGTAGTGACCAATGGGGATAAGGTGACTGAGTCGTTACAGAAAGCTGCTGAAACTGAAGTAGTGGAGGTAGGGATATTTTATATAAAGATATTAGTCTCTCAGCTTGGATGTGAACATGTAAAATTCATACCAATGAAACAAATTCAGTCTGTAAAATTAGATAAATTTAGAATCTACAAGCCCAGAAACTTCTCTCTCAGGATCGATACAGCAATGTTGTATTGTATCGTGATACGAGGCCCACAATACAATACATCGAATTACGACCCGTGTCGCGATGCATTTCATTACAAATTATATTGGTGTAAATACATGTGAATACTAACAAACTGTTCAACCACCAGCTTATGCAGATTGTCTAGTATTTCATGTTTGGACAAATATAGCATAACATTCACAGTGCCCTCTACCAATTCTTACCTACAACATCCCATCTTTGATCTATGAAATTTATTAACAAATGTTTCGGGGTTATGATTCACCAGCAAAATCAACTTGGGAAATAAAAATACTGTATCAGGATTTTGAATCGTACAGGACCCCATCGTATCGTTACACCTTTATTTAGGTGGCTGTAATGGAGGGTTATTGACCCCACTGTTTATTTCACTAATGATATGCATTTATATTTTCAAATCCAAGTTGAGAGATCTCAGTGTGAAATTCATTGACATGGCCATTGGTCATCTGAAAAACTAGATGTGCGAGAGGGACAGGTTTTCACCCCAAATCTACCGGTAGTTGTTTTACATACTGCCAGTCTGACATGAGCTGCAGTGCAGACTAGGTACATATGACCAATGGTGTCTACCACTGTACAGTGTTGGTATGTCACAAGTCCATCACTGGTTATTTTTGTGTGAAAAGACCATATCACAACAAGCAAGTAGTCAGTATGTTGGTGTGGTTAGCCCCCTGTCAGCAGACTCTTGAAGCCGGAGTTTGACAACTATGACTGACTTAACCCTAATAAATAACCATAGCCACGATAACCTGGTTGTTTGTAGGGACTTATCGAGACCTGCTCAGAGGTTGAAATTCAGGCTAAATGTTCAGCAAACGTCATTCAAATTTCCCCATATGGAATTAAGTTTCCCAAATTATACTAATATAAAACAAATAGCTTGATTTTATAGCTTTTGTGGAAATAACCTGTATTTCACAGGATGAGCAAATAGGAAGAGGTGTTAATATGGTTAATGCTCAGTTATATATTATTGCGTTGAATGCAGTCTCAAAATACAATGTTCAAATAGGCCTACCTCTGAATGTTAGAAAATAAGATCTTTAAAAAATCCCAATTTTGAACAATATAACATTTTTTTCCCATTTTGTTGGTAGGGGAACTTTGTTTATAATCCTGTATAAATCCCTTGTTTAGTTTTCTACACTACGTACAATGATACGTGCCCAGCAGTCAATGGTTTGCCCGTGACATGATGACACGTTGCTGGATAACAGTGAACACTGCAAACCAGGTAGCTTCACTGAGAAACTAGCCAGGGATTTATCTAAGTTTTCTCAGGCCGATATTATGCCCTCAGTCTGCAGAAAATATTGGGAGAAATATACAAATAGTGCAAATTGGAAAATAAGGTTACCAGTTCAGTTATTCAAAAGTTTTTAAGCTTGACTTTGTCAATATTGCATTGAATGTAGTGTTTGCCAGGTTAGCATGGTTAGAATATGCCTCAACATTGCAACATGTAAGAATATAAGAACTTTACAAAAATGCCCAAATATGGACATGTTGGACAAAACAAATAATTTTTCCCTGTTTACCTATCATGGGCACTTAGGTTAGAATCCTGGTAGTATTGGATATGTTTGGACAAATTTGACAGAACTGAAAAGTAATAGGTTAAATTGTTACAAGCATTGATAATTCATTTATATGTGTGTCGACTCCAAGCAGTTACAATATGCTGTTCATGAACATATGCAATGTTGCGTTGAAGACAGCTCTGTATTCTCCCAGATGGAAATGGCTGATGCAGATGAACAACCTAAGAAGAGTGCTAGAACAAGACTACGACTGAAGAAAAAGACAGACAATGTAAGAAAATTGTTGCTATGAAATATCTTTAGATGATAAGTGAAGATACATTTTAGTAGTCTTTAATTGAAATCAACTATCAGCATGTTAGGTGTATCACGTTGTCAGTCAGGGTGACCTTGAAAATGTAGATTTTCATTTCCAGTTGAAGCTAATAGTAATTAAGCTGTACATGGTTACCTCCCTTGAACATACATGCATTGTTCTTGTTGCCAATTTCAAGAGATTTCTTCTGCTTTGATTTTTTTTTGTGATCGCATTTCGCATTAAGTTGGCGAGTGTTCTGAGTTTAACCAGTGTTTCTATATTACTGAAGCATTTGAGATTCTAATGACAGGATTTTTATAACATGATTGAAGATGACCCAATTTTTATGTGAGATGCAGTGTGTGCAGAAAGTCTTGTAGTCTCCTACATGTACTAGTCCCAACCTGTCATTTGACATCATTGTCAGTAGATCTTTATTGTGTTAATGTATCGCAAACATACTAGAAAGGTTACTATATTAAGGATTCGGACAAGCAGCTAAGTCACAGACTGTAGAGGGGCGGTCAGGTAGCCTAGTGGTTAAAGCGTTCTCTCGTCACGCTGAAGACCCTGGTTCGATTCCTGACATGGGAGCAATGTGTGAAGCCCATTTGTGGTGTCCCCCGCCATGATATTGCTGGAATATTGCTAAAAACGGCATAAAACCTCTCACTCACAGACTGTAAGATGGTAGTTTTTGTTTCAAAACGGAATATCAGGTAAATACATACCATTGCCGTAAACAATACATGACCTGTTTTAACCTGTCACATTTGTATGGTATATTATGCGATATATTTGATGATTTGATTTTAATCGATGATTCTCTGCTCTGCCGCCTTATATTATATACAGACTGCTGTCTAACAGGAGATACTGACATCTGTTGATATGTATTTTGTAATATTACTTGTAAACTAGGACTCAAGTGACGCAGGTAAAGAAGTAGAAGCTGTCGCAGTCCTACCGTCCTCTTCCTCATCATCCTCGGTGGACTCCGATAATGAAAATCGACCTGTCAAGAAGACTTGTCGTGAAACTGATAGAGTCGTGGATACAGAGCCGCGACTTTCGTATGACAAACTGTACAAAGAGGACAAGGAACATCCAGATTTCACTTCCGACTCTGACAATGGTGGTAGCAAGAAGAGAACAAAAGCAAGAAAGACTAAGAAGTCTCAGGTAGAAAGCTCGGAGAAGGAAACAACTACTGCCTGTAAGGAATCAGAATCGGAAGTTGATGCTCCTGTGAGGCAGAGCACGCGGACTAAAACACGTAAGAATGCTGAAGCTAAGAAGGAACAGTTGCGCCCCGCGTGCAGCGAGTCTGAGTCGGAGTGTGACAGGCCTGTGAGACAGAGCACCAGAACAAAAACAAGAAAACCAAAGGCGACAGTAGTAGCATCTGAAAGTGAGTTTTCTGGGTCTGTGTCATCTGACAAGGAGCATGTTGAGTCTGAGATATCCCAGTCTGAGGAGAAGAAGGAAGATGTGATGGAGGTCAGTGAGGAAGTCCACATGACGGAGGAGGACCATGGTGACCACGACCGGGACTCGGGCATCATGAGTGCTCAGTCTAGCGAGATCAATATCAATATATCCGCCAAACCCATGGAGGCTGAGATAATTGAGGAGGAAGAGGAGGAGAAGCAGCCCACACGGTCGACCCGCACGAAGACACGGAAAGTACAGAAGAGTGAGAGTAGTGATTGTGAAGAAGTGTTTGTTGCCCCTGAGTCTCCTGCTCCTAAAACACGGTAAGTACATGGGTACAATGTGTTCATTTCTGGTGTACCCCCATCGTGATATGCTGGAACTTTGCTGAAAGTGGCGTAAAACCAAAACTCACTCATTCATTCCCTCACAAGAAACAGTTGGAATGTTCTTTGTCCAACTCTAATGTGTGTCTAACTTGCCTCAATTTTGTTAGTAATACAAGTATATGCACATGAGCAATTCACACAATTGCTGCTAAGCTGTTTTATGATATTTTGTTTTGATTGTTCATTTCTAGAACTAAAACACGGAAGCGTCAGGCTGAGGAAGAAGAAAATCGGGTTGCTCCCAAACCGAAGAGATCCTGCACCAACTCCGTCTCTTCACCTGATCAGGTGGGCATAGACAGTGTGGCCACTGTGTTGTTATCTGTGGTAACATGCTTAGACTGAAGTAAGCTGGAATCTAGATAGCATGTTGGCTAAAGACAGAAACTCATTTGGATTCATTGGGCTACTGACTTCCTGTATTATGTTTATGAGTGTATGCTTAAATAATCAATGAAATATCTAAATTAAATATGATCATCTTATCCATTTTGCAGCCTAGTAGACATGCTGCTACAGATTCAGACAGGTGAGTTGCTTGTCTTGTATGTTCATAGGATTTCTCCTTCAGAGACAAATATCTTTAGATTTTCATTTATTTTCCCTGTTTCCTCTAATATTACTTGCACATTATAGGTTGTTCAAATGTTTACGTGGTGTGTGACTCCGATACATGGAAAGATCATATGCAGTTCTGATTATCTCAGGGGTGGTGGGGTAGCCTAGTGGTTAAAGTGTTTGCTCGTCACGCAGAAGACCCAGGTTCGATTCCCTACATGGGTACAATGTGTGAAGCCCATTTCTGGTGATATTGCTGAAAGTGGTGTAAAACCGTACTCACTCACTCTCTGATTGTCTCAACCATAACCGATATAGTCAGTTGCTATCTGTGTACATTGTGCATATTTATACACTGGTCCTCTATAACTGTTGCTTGTTAAAGAGAGGAAATAATGGATTAGGTGGCTATACTCAGTGATTGCATGTCATCACACTCCGACGGCGTGGATCACTGCTCACAATATCAATCACTGGATTGCCTAGACCAGTCTTGATTATTTACCAGCAACAGTCATATTGCTGAAATGTTACTAAGTGTGGCATTCAAACACAAACAAGCAAACAATAATAAGTAAAGTTTTTGACTGTTAATGTCTGTGTACTGAACATGCTGTTGTGTTCTGTCTCCAGTGTGGCCAGTAGTGAGGAGGACATCACAGACCGCTCTCCATCACCGACATGCCCGCCAGACAAGGTGAGACTGACAGCCAGCATTATAGTTAGTACCTTCACTGGGTACAGCACACATTATATGCTACATTTTCTTCAAGTTTGGTTTGTTTGGACATAACTTATGGGCATAAGTTGACTAACCTCTCAGATTTAGTAGTTTAGTACAAAGCTTCAATGGAATGTTATTCATCTTGTTCAGTGTTATCAATTCTGTCCTATAGACACAGCAATGCCTAATGAAAGGTATTCTACGATTTGGATGTTGAAAGAGGCTTTTTTTAAATTTATTTTTCAAATTATATATATTAGATACATTTCAGTATGTTTCCATTATTCCACCATCTGTGCCCTGGTTCTGTGTCATACGTTCAAGCTTTGTCAACCATGGTTTCAGGTGATCCGTCCCCATACTTCGTCTTTCCTGAACAGTTTACGTAAGCCCTCATCTGTGGCCATCGGCACTCCTTCAAATCTCATCACCGGCATGACCTCCTTCATCAAGAAAACACAGATTACTCCTAACAAAGCCTCACAACTGGTAAGCATCAGATCAAACTGGTAGTGACAAGTTAGGGTTACTATATATTTTAAAATCATTTTATCACTTTGAACGCTTGTAAGGTTTCTGTTACTACATACCACATAAGATCTGGTGGGATCTCATTCACATGGAACTGGGTGTAGCATGCTTGTGCTGAATCTATGTTCTGTGTTGCTGGTGGGTTTCCAACACTGCTGTATGTTGCTGGTGGGTTTCCAACACTGCTGTATGTTGCTGGTGGGTTTCCAACATGGCTGTATGTTGCTGGTGGGTTTCCAACACTGCTGTATGTTGCTGGTGGGTTTCCAACACGGCTGTATGTTGCTGGTGGGTTTCCAACACGGCTGTATGTTGCTGGTGGGTTTCCAACATGGCTGTATGTTGCTGGTGGGTTTCCAACACGGCTGTATGTTGCTGGTGGGTTTCCAACACTGCTGTATGTTGCTGGTGGGTTTCCAACACTGCTGTATGTTGCTGGTGGGTTTCCAACATGGCTGTATGTTGCTGGTGGGTTTCCAACATGGCTGTATGTTGCTGGTGGGTTTCCAACATGGCTGTATGTTGCTGGTGGGTTTCCAACATGGCTGTATGTTGCTGGTGGGTTTCCAACATGGCTGTATGTTGCTGGTGGGTTTCCAACACGGCTGTATGTTGCTGGTGGGTTTCCAACATGGCTGTATGTTGCTGGTGGGTTTCCAACACGGCTGTATGTTGCTGGTGGGTTTCCAACACGGCTGTATGTTGCTGGTGGGTTTCCAACATGGCTGTATGTTGCTGGTGGGTTTCCAACATGGCTGTATTTTGCTGGTGGGTTTCCAACACGGCTGTATGTTGCTGGTGGGTTTCCAACATGGCTGTATGTTGCTGGTGGGTTTCCAACACTGTATGTTTGTTTGTGTGTCAGGCTTTACAGGAGATGAGGAAAAAGGAGCTTGAGGAGAAGCAGAAGAAGGATCGAGAGCGGATACAGAAGCGAGAGGAGAACCTCAAGATCAGGATCGAGGAGCAAAGGAGGTGAGCTGTCTACTTGCTTCAGTGCATATCACAGGCAGACATTTCTTTGTTTCAAGGACAAATGGTGAATGGTTGGGTATTGACTTACCAGTGTGGCATTGTAGCCATGGAGAAAGGATTGATGGTCACTCTATCGACCTCTGGTTTGTCTGTCTCCTGCCATTAAGGCATGGAATTTGAAAAAAATAATAATAACAATCTATTCCTGAAAAATGGTGGATAGAATTAATTTGTTTACAACAATAATGAAATCCTTCATTGGGCATGCTGTATGTTCCAAAAGTACTGCGTTACTACTGTTATGGCTGAAGCAAAATTGTTTGGCTGCTCCTGTCAGAGAATGATTTTTGTATGTCTTGATGTACTGACTGAAAATAACATTCTCCCTTAAACAAACCCACAGGCCCTTATAGAATATTAAATGGTTGGTCCCTAACATGATGTGAGTATGTCGCGTGTGTGTGTGTATGTATGTCATGCATGTGTGTGTCATGCATCTGTGTGTATGTCATGCATGTGTGTGTATGTCATGCATGTGTTGTATGTCAAGCCTGTGTGTTTGTCATGAGTGTTTGTATGTCATGCATGTGTGTATTTCTGTGTGTGTGTAAGTCATACATGTGTTGTGTGTGTGTACATCGTGTGTGTTATATATGTGTGTATGTCATGCATGTGTGTATGTCGTGCATGTGTGTATGTCGTGTATGTATGTCATGTGTGTATGTCGTGTGTTGGGTGTTGTATGAGTACATCATGTATGAGTATGTCTTGTGTGTCATATGTTTGTCAAGTGTGTGTACATCATGGATGTTTGTATGTCATGTATGTGTGTATGTCATGTGTGTTATTTGTGTATGTCTTGTGTGTTATTTGTGTATGTCATGTGTGTATGTCGTGTGTGTGTCATGTACGTCGTGTGTGTGTACATCTTGTGTGTGTGTGTGTGTGTGTGTGTGTGTGTCATGTCACAGGTGTGTGTTGACATGTGTTACGTTGACGTGTTGCAGGAAGCGTGAGGAGCGTATGAGGAAGGTGCTGGAGTACCGGGAGCAGCGCGAGAAGCAAGAGCGGCAGATCAAGGACACGCTGGCCAAGAAGATGGAGGAGAAGATGCAGGTGTCAGATAAGCTGAAGGAGGAGAAACTAAAGGAGGAGAAGGAGCTGAAGGCAAAGATCAGGTGTGTGGCCGAAGCATGGCTCATTGACACTTGCACTGCAGTTAGATGTTTTATATCACAATGATGATATTGATGATAGATGATAGATGATGTTATTTATCCCGCATCCTATACGTATGTTTTGTTTCAATGAAGGCTGAAGAAGCAGCTTGAAGCCGAGGAGAGGCGGAAACAGGACGAGGAGGAGAAACTGCGCAAGAAGCAGGAACTGGTGAGAGAGAGACAACCCTCTTGTTTTAGAAGTTGTTCTGTGTCTTTATTGCAGCCTTCTCATTGTTTATTATGTCTTTCAAATAATTGAACACTTGTTTTTGTTTCCTCAACTTAATCAACTTATTTTTTAATTGCTTTATGGTTTCTGTCGACTCATGATAAAATGTTTGTGCGTGTGTGGAGGGGACAATCTGAAAAGCCCTATTAGGTTTACTGTTAATCTTGAAAGTTTTGCGAGCAAATAGTTCTGCGAAAACTGCAAGTGACACTCTTGCAATAGTTTCGCCAGACAGTTATATTTGTAGATCAACAAAACATGTAAGGAGGCATATTTCTTCTATTTGGTTCCACACATTCTCAACCAACCAATTGCATGATTAAATCAGTATCCCCTTACATCCTGTTTCCCTAATTACACTTTGTCACTGTGTCAGTAGTCTGATCAGGAAAGTTCACTGCTCCGCCACCCGTCAATTACCTTACATAATACTGAATAGTCCAGACTTACGCCAGCCGGTCTATACTGTTAGCTAAACACGCTACACCAACCTTCCTTGTCAACTACAGCACATGCATCTTAACACTGACTGACACTGAGTTACCCTTGGTGCTTCCTAGTTATGACAAATAACGGGGAGGTCGGGTAGCCTAGTGGTTAAAGCGTTCTCTCGTCACGCAGAAGACCCGGGTTCGATTCCCGACATGGGTACAATGTGTGAAGCCCATTTCTGGTGTCCCCCGCCGTGATATTGCTGGAATATTGCTAAAAGCAGCGTAAAACCTCACTCACTCACTCACTATGACAAATAACACGTGCAGAAGTAGCTTTGATCTTTCGTAATCTCATCAACAGGTTGCCGCAAACATTCCAGCTGCAGTTGAGTCTAGTGTTGGACGCTCGCAACAATTTCATGGCACAAAACTTTCCAGATTTACAGTATTTGGACCTTAAACCCCATTTCACGACCCACCTAAAAACGCAAATGTCACTCTTGTTTCACTTACAATGACAATGTCCATGTTGTTTTAAGGAGGAAGAAAATAGGAGGTACCAAGAGTTGATGCAGAGGAAGAAGGAGTATGAGGAGCAAGAGCGTCAAAAGAAGATAGCTGAAGAGAGGAAGAGGCACGAAGAGAGACTGGCGGAGGTGGAGCGAGAGAGGGAGCAGGAGCAACTACGGATCCGGCACATGGAGGAGGAGCGAGAGAAAGAACGAGTGAAAGCCAGGGAGGAGAGGTAAAATACTGCCAACATCTGATGTCTAAAAACCAAACTCTTACAAATGCAAAGAATTTTAATCATGTCCACAAGACTACTCAATGCATGGCTAAATACAAGCCAAGTATTGCAACAATAGATGAAGTAGACCATGTGGGTTAGACTTGGTTGTAAGAAGCAATTTAGTGGATTGGGTGGTCAGGCTCGGTGACTTGGTTGATTGGGTGTCATCGGACCCTGATGGCTTGGATCACAATATCAAACCTTGGATTGTCTGGTTCAGACTTGTAAGCTGCTGTCTTGTGACTGAAATATTGCTGGGTTAATCTGTGAATGATTTAATATTGATTTTACATTCAGACAGTTTACCACATTTGAGCAGAACTTTAAAGAAAAATATCAAGTCATGTCAGCTTCTTTTGAAAATATTAGTGGATAGTAGACCTCCTATACTGCTGATCAGGTCACTGTAATTTTGTTAAGATTGTTGTTCAATTATTGACTAAATTGTGCAATTTTAATAGCCATATGTTTTTCTTAAACTGTTATATGTGTCCTAGAATAGATAGCACCGACCAGAAGCATCTCATTGCATTATGCACACTTAACTGAATTTACAGGAATGTCTGGAATGTTCAGTCATGTCCCCAGATTCCAGGTTAGAATTGGTCCCCAGCAACCTATGCTAGTTGTAAGAGACAACTAAATGGGTTGGGTAGTCAGACTCGGTGACTTTGTTGATAATGTGTCATCATGCCCTCCTTTTCATAATATCAATCACTGGATTGTCTGGTCCAGACTTGATTATTTACAGGCTGCAGTCATATCGCTGGACTATTGCTGATTGTGGTGTTAAACATCAAACAACAGTGATTTTGTAATATGTTTGTCATAACATGAAGGTTGTTTGATTGAAGGGAGAAGGCTGCAGCACGTGAGAAAGCTGAGAGAGAGAAACATGAGGTGGACAAGAAAAAGGAGAAAGAACTAGCCTTGAAGAGAGAATTAGACAAACTGAGAGAGCTGGTGGGTTTATTTGTTAACTGATAACATGGGACTTGACGAAGGAAATAACCAATGAGTAGGTGTTGTTTATCGTACAATAACACACTGCAGGGAGAATAAACCATGAGGGGCGCAGCTTCGAGTGGTTTAATCTCCTGCAGTGTTTTATTGTTCAATAAACAACGACCACAAGTTGTTTATTTCTTATATGAGATATCAATATTATGTACGCTTTATGTAAGCTTTGAAAATAGTTATCATAATTCTAAACTCCCTATTTAGAATCCGACCTAGGAAATGTTGGACAAGTCCATTTTATGAACAGGTTAAGTTTGGTATTTCCTGCATATTCTCACAATCCTCACGTTGATTATCTGTACCCTTTCTCCCAATACCGATTGTCATATCTCTCGATTTTGGGGAGAGATTCATACAGTTTGCACATTGGTTTTTCGATTCATACCTCAATGAACCGAAAAGATTACACAGTCAATCCTTAAATGAGGCCAGGTTATTGCAAAATTTTGTAAATTTTACTTTTGGGAAAACCGATACAGAGTGAAACATGGATAGCCATGTAACCAGGGATTGAGATATACTTGTTCAGAGGCTGACATTCAGTCTGCAAATGTCCCAGATGAGAATCAAATATCTCCCATTTCATGTTAATATTGTTTTAAGTAATGTGATGGTTTGGTCAAAGGGACATATATTTACCAATAAAGAGGAAACAGGAAGAACATTGGATTTAATTTTACAATACAATGTTAAGATGACTCTTAAGAAAGCAGTTTGGAACACTTCCCAAGTTTGAACAAAATAACAATATTTGCCCCATTTGCCTGCCAAGGGCACGTAGCTTAGAATTCTGGGAAAATCCCTGGTATCATATTTTCAGGTGGGAGTATGTCCAAAAACATGAGAGAATTAGTTTTTGTGTCTGACATCAAACTTTTTTAACTGTAAGAGATTCCCAAACCTTGTCATTTCGGTGTGAGCGAGAAAGGATTTCAAGTTAATGTTAACTGCTGAAAAGTACAAGACAAGTTATAGCTTGGAACATGGTCATGTTTGCAGGAGAAGCAGCGTCTTCAGAAGGAGGCAGAACTCCGGGAACATGAACAACGGAAGGAGGAACAGATGCGCCAGATGATCAAGCAACACAACCAGAACCTGGTTTCTCTGCAACAAAACATACAGGGTCTACAGAAGCCCAACCTCAACTCCACTGTCACACTCAATAAATCAGCAGATAGTTTCACATCGTAAGTTTAGACTCTACTGTGGTGTGTTTCCATGTTCTTGCCACTGCATTGAGTTTCACATCGTAAATCCTTACTCTACTAGGTGGTGTTTTAATGTTCTTGCCTCTGTGGAGAGTTTCACATTGTAAATCCTTACTCTACTAGGTGGTGTTTTTAATGTTCTTGCCTCTGTGGAGAGTTTCACATCGTAAATCCTTACTCTACTAGGTGGTGTTTTAATGTTCTTGCCTCTGTGGAGAGTTTCACATCGTAAATCCTTACTCTACTAGGTGGTGTTTTAATGTTCTTGCCTCTGTGGAGAGTTTCACATCATAAGTCTTGACTGAAAGAAAACTGGACTGGTGGGTTATTTGTGTTTGTTTTGAATTATATTGAACTGCAAAAGAAACATCAGCCCAAGTAACATTGCATGAAAAGTTGTCATTTGAATATCTGGATAATTTTTGTCAAAGTTTCTAAAATTTAACATTACCTTGTTCGAAAAAATGAAATTTGATGATAAAAAAACAAAGCAGATGACAAAAAAATCCACCCAGATCGGATAACATTCATTCATTATTGAAATGCTACCACATGCCAAGATTGACAAGAAATCAGCGAAAACCAAGCCCTTGGACAATTGTTAGCTGGACAAACCGCCAGGCAAGTAGCCGAGGCATTTCAAGTCCACGTAAGGACCATATACAGGCTCAAGCAAAGTACAGACCACCAACACTACAGATGACCGACCACTTAGTGGAAGACCCAGGGTCACCACCCGATTGTGCGACAGCATCTTCAAGACCGCTTTGTAACTGCTGTGGAAACTGCTCGACAGACCATGGGGACACACCACCGACACATTAATGTGGACAATGTGTGTCGACGATTGACAAACAGACACCTCCACTGTCTTCAGCGGGCAACACAGCACCAGCAGTGGAGAAGAGTCCTCTTCTCAGACGAGAGCCGTTACTGTATATCAACAGCAGATGGCAGAGAGAGCGAGTCCGGCGACGCCGTGGGGAACGTTATTCGGATGCTTGTGTTGTTGAGAGAGACTCGTGGGGTTGTCCGAGCATCAAGGTGCGGGGTGGAATTGGTCTTGCACAGAGGGTCGGCCTTGTGGTCTTCCAGAACATCAGTCCAGAGAGAGGCAATGGTGTCACAGCAGCTCGGTACATTGATAAAGTCTTGAGACCACACGCCATACCTCATTTGGCAACCAGGAGTTTCGCTTGTGAGAGCAACAAGAGACTTCCTCCTGCAGAATGGCATCAGAACCATGCAGTGGCCTGCCCTCAGTCCCGAATTAAATCCCATTGAGCACCTGTGGGACGAGATTCAAAGACGGCTGAATGACGTCCGACCAAGGCTCAAGTGTGGACTCAAGTGCCTACGACCTTCATCAGCCGCCTCATCCATACCATGTATTGACGTTGCACGGCAGTTATCAGTGCACATTGCAGACACACGAGATACTGACTTGTGATGCCATTTTCTCAGAGACTAGTGTTGTGTTTCACTTTAAGAACATTTGACACTTTAACTTCAACCTTGATAATCAGTTTGCCAAGTTTCATCTTTTTAGTATGTCTCAAAGTATGTTTACAGTGTTTGGACAAATAAGGTTTCTCATATATCTGTCCATGGTGATGTTTCTTTTGTGGTTCAGTATATTTTTGAAAATAACTTGAATTTCCACACTTTACTTAGTTTTGAAAAACGTGCAATGGTTGGGCATATCAGGCATACTATGTTAACAAAATTTCTTTGTAGCCCTGACAAAAAATTTGAGACATTGATGTGAAGGTTGAAGGTCATCCTCAAGGTCGTAGTCTCAAGACCTCTCTGTTTAAACAAAGCTCTAGTTACAAATATTAGTACAATGAACTCACAAACTTTGCTCACTTTGTGTTTAATACAAGCTGAGATGCTGTCTATTGTCTTCATATAGATGTGGCAAGTGATGTAGCCAGCAACTTTACTTGTGTTTGTTACAGGTATGAAATCACCCCCGCCAAGAAGAAGAAAAACAGCAGTTCGGAGAACTACAACATAGAAGACCTCAACTCAGAGGATTCCACGGACGATGAGGACCAGCCGAAAAAGAGATTACCTCTGTGGGCGCAAGGTAGGAACTCAACATACACCAAACTTTGGAGCTTCAGATTCTTACACAGATTGTCATAATGACAAAATTGTAGACTCAAGTCTGAAATATAACTGTATCAGGATTAATTACTTTTCAGTCAAAAGCTATTTTTAATATAAATGGATTTATTTCAAACTATCTTTTTCTTATTGTTTTAACTTCCAATCACTGAACTGAAATTGTAAAGACTTTACAATTAAAACGTTTTGCTGATATTTTATTCATATAAAGAATTGCCATTTTGAATAAGGTCATGTGCAGTGGGTTTGTTTGTTTGTTTGTTTAGAAATGATGGCACACTCATGACAATGATTTTCTTATTTTACAGATCGAAATCTGAAAGCAGCTCTGATAAATCAACACTATCACCCCCCAAACACTGAGGGAATCTTTGGTGCCATTGACCCACCCGATCTCAATGTCCTGTTCAAGAAAGTCAAGCCGAGGTTCAACAAGCGTACAAGTTCAGCCATCTGGGACTCACCATTGTACAAACCTCATGGAGCACCAGTTTCATGATCACATATCATTCAGTTGTCAAGATCCGGGTCTCTTTTAGCCTTGTCCCTTCTGGCTGACTCTGTGTTCACTCAGTCCAATGCATGTACCGGTACCGGTACCTTCACCTTCACCTTCACCATCACAGACAGGTGTTTCTTTTCATAACTTGGTTCATGGATCTCCAAACTTAAAAAGACAGGGATGTGTGGGAGGGGGAAAAAGGATTCAAGTTTAAAGCTGTTTTACTAAGGCCAAGCCTGATAATCACACTATTTAATGAAATCACTAATGTTTTCTAGCCTAGGGGGTAAGGAATACATGCCTGCAATAGTTAGCTGAAATAGTATAGCTCCACCATTCTCAAATCAGTGCATATGGGACATTGTTCTCACAGGAACAGTATGAATTTAACATTCCTGTACGACTTCACCAAAATGCCAAAAGCAAAATGGAGGTTTTTGGTATTTTATATTTTTCTCTCATTCGACCGAGCCTATATTCTTAAAAAGAAGTCTGTTATTTTTATTTCAACCAGCAACCAATGGTTTGGAGAAAAACAACCGTAAACCTACTGATAAAACACATTGGCCTAATAATGTTAGAGTGTAACTACGAGTGTCAGGGCCTGCATCCCTGTCTGGTAGATGTGAGGGTACAGGACTCTAGTGGGTGACACTCCAGGTACAACCAAGCATGGGACGTGAGCCACAGACCAGAAGAAACAGCTGCGTATTTGTGACAATACAACCTTTTTCTTAACAACTATATGTGTAGTTAATCTCCAGTTGATAGTCTGTACATTTGTAAAGATGTATTAAATTATGCATCGGAATATTATTTTATTGAGAAACAGGATCATTTATACTCATTTACTGTGTAGTTTGTCTATCTTCGTTTTATGACTTTTGCAACTACTTATGTTTCTTTTCTCAATTCTTGAATCCATTTCTTGAATCCTCTTCCTCCAGGATTTCCTCTTGCTATATCTTATTGGTTGAAAAATAACATTGCAATGGAGTATGTGTCTCAATAGTGACTTCATAATATGATGCAGAGTTTCTGTGAATTATTCTATTTTCAATCTATTTACATATATGAATTAGGGTTTGAAAAATGCTGTGGTCCAGATAATCGACATTTGATATTAATGAAAATCAGAATCATTCATCAGGATAGTAGTATATATTAAAAGTCGTTCTCATTGTGTTATCTTTGACAGATTGAAAAGTACAAGAGAATTGAGGAATAATTGTGACCCTGGTTCAAATGTCCTGATGTGAGTGAGCTGGGTTTAACGCTGCTTTGAACAGTATTCCAGTCTTATCATGTATGTCAGCCTGATGTGGGAGGAAAGCCTGAAGTGATGCAGGTCTCCCGATGTTTACCACTTCGGTGAAACCCACGAGCACGGGTATGGTGCTGACAAACCTAGAAACAATCGGGACGCGTGATGCAAGTCTGATGTAATCTTGATACGTCACTCAGTTAGTTAAATGCTGAAGCTGAAAAGATACACCAGCATGACAATAGTTTAATAACATCACATCCTCTCAAATATTTGCTCATACAAAGAGTTAGTTTTAAGTATTTTGTATCATATTGTGGAGCAATGTATTTTGATGCACCATTGAATCTTTCACCACTCTCGTATTTCTTGCAAAGCTGATCACCCTGTGTATATTGCTATCCCACGATGTTGTAGATATGTAAATATGTAAATAGCTCATCCATCTCATGCAGGCATCACACATTGCACACAATACACACAGGCCATTCATTCATTCTTCTCTTCATTTATCAGACTGTCATTTTTAAGAAAGCTCAATTTCTTGTTGGTTGCTCTGTGCCATAACTCTATTAAATTTTATCAGTCACAACAAATTTAGTAAATCTCATTCATATTTTTATTGTTTGTTTTACACGATGTATTAATATTGTTTTTTTGATGGGTCCATAGAGTGCAAACATAAAATGAAGGCATATTCTGTCTTCTCCAAGCTTAACATAGGTATATATAACATTATCTGACCTTTCGGTAGCAATGTATTGGAATTAATGTCATATCCATTGGCTGTATTTATTATAAGGACAAATGTCTACTGATTTATATAACTGTGAAGTGTGTATGACTAATATCTAGCTGTGTAGGTATAGATAATGAGAATGTACTACAGTACATCTACTTTGTCATGATGTATCTGATACACCCTGATACATCTATGATGCATCCCTGAGACTGTGACTAACTTCAGATACTGTGGGCGTCTGTACACAGTGAACTATCCTTTCATGTTGTGACAGCTGTCCGTTACTTTGTACAAACGCTTTTACACAGTGTAACTTGGTATCTGCATTTTCAGATGAATGGGAATAAATTCTGAAATGTGACAATGCTTTTGTTGTTTTCATTAAACATGATCATTTCTTAAGTTCATATAAGGAGGCCATCCTGAAACCAGTGTATGGTCTCCATTCTATACTACTCAGGTCCTGATAAGGATACTATGCAAACTCACACCCCTACGGAATTTGGGAGACAACATATGTAAATGTTTACTCATGTTTATTATTGCTTGAAATAAGCTTACCATGCATCAATTTCATGCCCATATATCATCCTATTCATACCACTCCAACAACCAGTCAGATTTATCCCCTGTCAAAAGTTGAGTGGTATATTATGATAAATGCTGTGGACCCTTTGCCACCAAAACTTCGTTTTGAGTCTAGTTTGTATGACAGTGCTGAGCTAGCCATCCAATCAGAACACTTCTCTTGGGATTAAAGCATGCTGCAACATCATCAGTACTGGCCTTGTACGCTCCATCTTAATAATACTGGGATGGAATAATGACTCCCCTTCCCCTATCTGGATACTAGAGAAATCGAAACATGTTTTCTGGCTGACATTTCATTGATAGCAGTATTTTGATTTCACTTAAACTATCAAAGATTTGCTAGTTGGATGCTACGATGTTTAGATCTATGCCAAACTCTTGTTCAGAAGAGTCATTATGATTGGATACTGATTTCAAGCTCATGTGCAAGGAGAGTTCTGGGCAATGTTAGTGATGAGCAGGTTGGAGATGGTGGTCACTTCCGAATCAAAGGGTATTTATCATATAGAACGGGTAATGGAGAATGTAAGAAGGCAGGTGATGATCCCCATGTGTTGGTTGACAGTGATTGTATACTAGGAAACCTATAGGCTTGAGTGGTGTGCAATCCTGCCACAAATTCAGAAGGTCGGATATGGCTTCATTCTACAGTTGAATCTTTCTTGGGCACGCCAGACACCTACGATTGTGGGTTCGAATCCCGGTTCACCCCGATTATATTTCTAGGTTTGTCAGCATCATACCTGTTCTCATGGGTTTCACCAAAGTGGTAAATGTCTGAGACCTGCATCACTTCGGGCTTTCCTCCACCATTAAGCTGACACGCCGCGATATAACTGTAATACTGTAATACAACTCACTCACTCAGTGGGATGTCAATGAGTAAACATCAAATACACTCGGTAACATCTTTTTTCGTTAGTCACATTTCAGGACTACTTCATGACCCCCAACAGGAGAATTACTGAACTAAACTGATACATGTTGATGTGTATTCATTGTCTGCGTGTACACACATCAGCATGTAGAAGATTTGTTAAAGAAGGGACAAGAAGTAGCCCAGAAACATCGCTACAAATAATAAAGAAGTTGTAAAATCCATAAAGAAATTATGTCTTCATGTTCAACCAACCTGGTAACATTAAAATACGCTGCATCTGACCAGGAATGGTAATGACACCATTATAGAAACTATCCATGCAACAATACATCATGATATTCTCCATGTATAAGCATGTTGTAAAATAGCTGACATGGCTGTTTGTAAAACTCCAGGTCAATTCAATAACATGTTCTGACGATGGATCATTATGGAAATTGAGATATAATGCACCAGTTAGATAATTAAAGATTTATATTCCTGTGTCTTGTTTATTGTTCAACGCTGCTCTCAACAATATTCTGTAAATAGTCGAATCTGGACCAGACAATCCAGTGACTGACATGAGTAACTGGGACGAGATGACCTGCATCAACCAAGTCAGTGAGTCTGACCACCAGATCCAATTAGTCGTCTTGTGTGACAAGCATGGGTTGCTGCAGACCAGTTCTAACTAGGATCTTCACGGGTCTGCTGTGTCGTAGAACTGTGAGCTTCTTGAACCCAATGGTTTCAGACCAGGTATGTTGAAGTGGTATCACTATATCCTCTGGCTCACCAATTTAGAAACATGGGTGATTCCTGGGCAGAACTGGTCTTCAGTCGCCATTGCTTGATGTGCAGTCTAAGGCACCACATTCTGTGCAGAATTGCATTGCGTAGGCATGCAAGTCACCTATGATCGTGGTATCGAATTCCATTTCGCCCCTTTATGTTCCTAGGTTTGTCAGCACCATACCCATGTTCGTGGGTTTCTCCAAAGTCTCCGGAATACTGTTAAAAGCCTTGTCGACCCCAACACACTCACCAATGCTTGACTTGCTGATTGTGTTTCATGGTGCTGATCGTGTGGATAATTGCTCTCACTTTCCGCCACATGACTGCATTGTCCAGTTTCCATATCACTATGGTAATGCCAAAAAATGCTGACTAGCTTTAAATAACATTCACTGGGTGTTCTTGAATGATATAATGGTGTAATTGCGTGCCATTTATCCTTCACTTGGGAGACCGCCTCCGTGGTCTAGTAGTGGAACGTCCGCCCGGCTGATCCCCGGCTGCGTCATACAAAAGACATTAAAAATGGTACTTGTTGTTACCCTGTCTGGCGCTCGGCATTAAGGGGCTAAAACAAGGACTGGTCGGCTCGGAGTCAGTATAATTGTGTCTGAGTGGGGTATTCATGTTAAATTGCGGCATGGTATCTCAGTGAGCTAGCACTATAAATCGGCATCAGTCCGGACTAGTACAAGCACACACACACACACACACACACACACACACACACACACACACACGTGCATGTACGTCGCTATATAAGTGCAATATTCTTGGACGCCACGTTAAACCCAATTTCACCTCACCTCACCTACACTTGGCCTTCCTCAACAATCAGTCACATCTAGTAACAGCTTACGAAGAAACGTGAAAGAACACACACTATAACCACCTCATAAAGGCACACACATTGGCTGAAAGATGAATATTATCGACCAAATTGACAACGACCACTGTGGATATGTGTCGAGTTCGACGTCCCGTATATAATACAACACACACACTTTGACTCCCTTGTTTCCACCAGTGATAGTCAAGCCAAGTGTCCACGTTGAGTAGAAGATATCATCTGTCCTCGTGTCACTGTCAGCGGCCTTGTACAGGCTGATTATCTTCTAATATTTGCATCCTATCTTCAGACACAGCCAAAACGCACACACTCAGTCGGACACTAGCGGTGAGTACATCTTCCACCGTCTGAAGTGGTTTTGACGTTTAGAAACGTAGTATTCAGTGACAAATGTGTCTGACTAACACCGTGCAACACTGGAACGACTGCATTTTAGTTGGGGCAACTGGTCTGTGCCTGCTTACAGGAACCTATATACATGTACATATATACACACATAACATGGCATTGTGAAAGTGGGAGGGTCGTTCTCCGCGAGTCAGTCAGGACCCACACAACTGACTCTGGGCAAAGCAGGAATAGACGTGATATTAACACAGGATTTGCTCTATTACTGCTTTTACAATTACAGAATTCTTCCCTTCAAGATGTGTTTAATAACAGAGCCAAATAAAAAAATAGAATATTCAAGTAGTTGTTCAACTTCAAAATGAAGTGTCGTAAAATCACTATTTAGACGCTTGTGTGGACCGGCGATCTCGCTATTGCTGAACATACAATGCGTTGCTTACACTTGACATGGAATAATGCTGAGATGAACTGAGTGCATCCTGCATGGATGATTTTGTCATTGATATCTGCAAACCGAAATAACGAAACAAAAACCGGATGTGTTATGAGTATTTGTATAAGGCCGACATTAAGGTCACGCTTCAGAGCTTGTTATCGTATCTGTGTTAATATGTCAAGGTCATCGGGGTGGCATTCAGTACAGGATTTCCCCTAGTTTATCAAATACAAATATACAATGTGATCGTGTCTGACAAGGTATACAAGTACAATAATGCCAGCTATTCGGTATATATGTACTTTTGAATTTTTATAAATCGGCATGTAATATTGCTGATTGCGGCGTCAAACAACATTCATCCACCCATTACTTTCGCAGTGGACATGTTTCACACCTATGTTATATGACTTCTTCTTTTACTGCTCGCAGATTATGAATGAAAGTATTGAAGAACAAATATTCTTATATACAAAGAGAAAAGGATGGGGAATCTTCTGTTAATATACACTTGCTCGTGCGTCCTTGAGTTCTTGTGCACGTCGAACTTAACGTCTAGCCACGAATCAAGTGCAACCGCTTAACGTATCTACTTCTAATATAAATATAAATGGAATTCAATGCGTATTAAAAAATATGCTTGATGTTGGGTTTTTGTTTTTTTTATGAATTGACTCCATGTATACAACCCATTTCAAATTTTAACCATTAAACCAAAAGATCTTTTCCCATACACTTGCCCATAAGCCCCAAAAAACAATTACAAATAGGGCACGGCTCAAGATCATGGGTTCGAATCCCGGATTAGCCTGGATTATGACTTGTATCTTCTTATATATCACCAACCAGTGTTGATGGGTAGGTATGATGAATGATAAGCGTCTAGGGCCTGCATCACGTCGGGCTTTCCTCCCGTATCAAACTGTCCGCCGTGATATGACGGCCGTAATACTGCTCTTTTCAGGAGCGTACAAACCACCCAGTCCCCAGAACCTGTAAACTGGTAATGTGTATACATGATGTTAATGTGATGTTCCCTCCCTACAGGCCACGATGACAGACACCAACCTATCGGCAGTTCTGTACAAGGTCCAACACCTCAGGCTGGTAAGAACATGGGCAGTGCCATGCACTGGTGGGCAGGTGGCTAAAGCTCAGAATTCGATGTGAAGAGTTGCGTCCCTTATCCGTTCCCGAAGCCCTGATTATGTTTCTAGGTTTGTCAGCACCATCCCCGCTCTCGTGGGCTTCACCAATGTGGTAGACTTTCATGATCTACATTACTTGGGCTTTTTCTCGCACAGCAAGATAATAACAGAAATATTGTTTTAAGTGGCTTTAAACTCACTCACTCACTATTGTTTTAACACCAAGCAAACAAAATCTTCATCGTATTTTGAGATTTTTCTTACATTCCAGTTCCACATTTTATTTGATGTTAAATGTACTGTTTTTATGATCTTTTATTTATGAATCAATATGTTATAAATTATATGATGTCAGAATATGTATAACATGAATCCCGATATTCCTATCGGTATATTACAGGTTGACCGGCCTATTCCAGAGCCTAAACAAGGGGGTAAGTTGTAACAGTATCTTATGGTTATATAGACCCACCGCCCATTTTGGAGTTCTGGGTCTGAATAGTTCCCTACAGAACCCCATGCTTATCTCTAGAGCAGACTAAGGACTGGGTGATAACAATTTGTGAACTGATACCCCGACCGTTGCTCATGCTGTCACCCACTGGTCTACCTGACCCACATCAGGATTATTGCTTCTTAAGAAGACATTCCTATCTAGGCGCAAGGCGATCCAGTAACTAAAGCGTAGTAATTGTCTGTTCAGAGTTACGTCCCTTAGTCATGCTAGGATCCGTTGTATTTGAATCCCCGATTCGGCGCGACTGTGAACCTTGGTATGTCAGCACCCCAGTTGTTCCTGTATTGGTTTCGTGAAAATGAGAAACGTCTATTATCATCGTCCCACTGATCTTCGACAAGCAGTGATATGAATGAAATACTTCTCTGGGCGGTGTTCAACACAATTCGCTCTCCAGAGATATAGATGCCACCGTGGACTTGAAATAGATCACCAGTACATAGTGTGTGTCTCCTTATATTAATTATAGCTATACAACAACAATCAGGTGCTGTATTTATTACCGAAAAAATACTCATAGTATCACTGCTTTGGGATTACAGATTATCTGACACAATTACTCGTTATTATTGTGGATTTCGTCAGTAGAGTGAGTAATCTTTAGTTCACAGAACCAAAGATAAATTTTTACATATCTATGGCATTTATATTATGTCCTTTAAACCAATTGTTTAAACTATCCCGGAAAGAATCGGGTGAGCTACAGAGCCTTGTGGGTTTTGTTTGTCAATAGTCTTTAGGTATTCACTCATTTAACTTCCCCTTTCTGTTGGTTCCAGAGGTCCAGATCTCCATGCGGACAGTGGGGATTTGCGGTTCCGATGTCCATTACTGGCACAGTGGCGCTATTGGTCACTTCGTGGTCAAGGCCCCGATGCTTCTCGGCCACGAGTGTGCGGGTGTGGTCAGCAAGGTTGGGGAGGGAGTCACCAATCTTAAGGAGGGTAAGGGGGGTACCCTCAAGCATTCACTCCCGAATCCCTATTCGTGTACTCATAGGTAAATCTTCACCACCTTGAAGACACGAATCTTTATTAATGTCTATTGATCAAGTTTCAGGAATTATTCTAATAAAAGTTAGGATGGCATTACCCCCCCCCCCCCCCCCCTTTTTTTTTGTTTTTGAAAAACCAAACTATCGTTGTAGGCAATAACATTATCTAGTGACTGGATTATGATATATTTTGGGCCCCTCCCTTTCTAAAATGCTGGATCCGCCCTTGCGGTATAACAGACAATTACATTCAAATCAGGTCTCACATCCGTTACCTCTGTCCGTCAAGATCTGTCGAAATCCCTATATATAGGAGAGGGTATCGATTCAGGGTTTATTGAAGTTATGACAGTGAATAGAGGACTGAGGATTGGATGGTTAAAATGTATGACTTGCTGGATGTGCGTGATGGTGCAACGATGGCGTGGATCGTTGCTTGTGCCTCATGACGCACGCTGGACTAGTCACCGATCGCCGTCATAGAGGTAGGGTGTTGCTGACTGGCGTAAATCTCACACATTTGTTTGTTTATACACATGTACACAACACGTCCATCACGTCCGATGTATCTGTCTGCAGGAGACCGCGTCGCCATCGAGCCCGGCGTCCCCTGTCGTCAGTGTGAGCTGTGCAAAGATGGCCGCTACAACCTCTGTCCAGACGTCTTCTTCCTGGCCACCCCGCCGGACAGTGGCGCCCTCGCCAGATACCACACTCACGCCGCCGACTTCGTCTTCAAGTCAGTACAGTACACACTTACACCCACACAGAGACTGTGTCAGTGATTGGGGGTCATATTGCTGTTCCCTTGGGGATTGTAAGGCCTATAATAGCTGTGGTTAGGTATCCCCTTATCCGTTCCTGTGGGAGAGAGACTGGATCCACTTAAGAAAAATTGCTCGTGATACTCTTGACAATATTGTCATTGCTTCTTCATAAATCTGAACTACATGCAATTGGAAAGGCTGGTTTGATTTGAGATTCTGACATGCTGTAAGGTCGTGTGTCCCGATGTCCCGTCGCAACATTTACGTTTTCGACATATCTATATACGTTATAAATGGGTCTGTGGGCCTGTGGTTCTATGGGTCTTCGAATGGCTGACCACAGGGTAAGTTTCGTTCGTCATGTTCTAGTTAGATGGGTACCTTTTGAGGGATGACAGATCACATTGTTTTTACACAACTCTGATTTTCACGTGTATTCCAGACTGCCGGACAACGTGAGCTTCGAGGAAGGGTCTATGATAGAGCCCCTGTCTGTAGGACTGCACGCGTGTAGAAGGGCCGGCGTGAAGCTGGGTGGGCGCGTGATGGTTTGTGGGGCAGGTGCGTGAACTTCAATTGAGTTGTATTGAGATCTACTGCATCGTTTATTATTTTCATCTACTGAGTAGCTTTCCAATTCATGAGACTTTTGGGGGATTTCATTTCTCGATTATCCAGTACACTATATCTCCCGGCCTCGATGGAGAAAAAAGGGGCCCCTCCCAGTGCTTCGCGGACTTCGGGGACTATCAACTCAACTTTCTAGTAAATTCTATCCTCCTCCTGAATCAAAATACTAAGACTTAACATTCTGATTAAAATGCACGTTTGAGTACACTAGACCGATACGGTTGTGTTGCAGGACCTATTGGACTGTGCGCCATGTTGTGCGCCAAGGCCATGGGGGCTGCCGGGGTCTGCATGACAGGTACGTGGTCGGCGGCAGGACCTGCACCTCTCTGTATAATAGTCACATGGCTGTCGTCATCTCTATCTTTCCTCAACAAGACATTTATATTTGAGATAAACTGTGAATGTGAAAGTGGATATGTATATCATGCAGGACAACGGGTAAACTTCAGTAAACACTATTCTGAGAAGGCTTGGCTTGCGATTTGTGGCTGCCATTACACTTTAAGTATTTGTAGCTCACCAGTATGAAGGTTTTCTTCTCCGAGTCTAGAAATGCATGTTCTGTGCACACTTCAGACATTGACCCGAAGCGTCTGGAGTTCGCCCGGAAGGTCGGTGCTACATCCACTGTTCTCGTCGACACCAAGGACGTGGAGGAGGTAGCAGCCAAAGTCCGCGTGGCGCTGGGAGGGGCCCCTGATTTCTCCATCGAGGCCAGCGGAGCCCAGTTCTGTGTGGAGCTGGGAGTAGTGGTAATTATGGCTGAACATATAGAGTGAGTAAGTGAGTTGGGTTTAACGGCACTTTGAACAGGATTATGTTGTGCCACCTTGTGCGAGATGAAGTCCTGGGTGACTCTTGGACATGCAACTTCAATTCGTGGAACCGTGGAGCACGGGCATGACGCTGACATACTAGACTGTACAAGGGTTCCTGAAACAAAAGCGACAACCCTTTCCATAATCATAAGAAATCTCTGCTTGCAGAAGACTCCATTGTAGATTCCGACAATATCATGAGCACCGGTCCCGAGTTAGATACGGCGTATTATAAGTGCCCAATGTATTGTAGCAGCTCCTTGGACGCATCTTGGGAATCCTGCTTACAATGGGTCATCAGTTCCTTATAAAAATACTTGTCGTAAGAGTCGACCCAAATTGATCGAGCTCTGGCTTGGCGTGCATGCCATTGGTTCCCGATATGCGTAGTTGCCCCATCAGCAATATATCAATCTCATTAAAATCAGATCTTAGTTCTCGCTATCAAACAAAGATGTGAGGACATCCCATTACGGGTCACGAGAAGCGAGAACTTAGATCTGATTTCAATGAGATTGGCAATATATTGACCATAAGGCGACGACCATTCACTTGGAACGTAAATCATATTCGTTTTTCGGTATAGCTTTTTGTTGAATACTTAATGGATAAATGCTTCACCTAGGCCAACAAGCCACACAAAGAATTTGCTTCTCTATTTATCCAGTGTATCATATCTTCATTCTATAGAATGGAGCTATGATACACTGGATAATCGAGGAATGAAGAATTCTGGGTATCCATCTTTCGTCGTTATAGATCTCAAAAGTAATTGTGCGTCGGAGACGTACGTGATGACTCAAAGGGTGTGTTTGGGTGTTGTAGACCACTAAGACAGGCGGAACATTCGTAGTTGTTGGCCATGGCCCCACCCACGTCCAGATCCCAATCGTCAACACTGTGGCCAGGGAGATCGCCATCAAGGGATCCTTCAGATATGTCAACACGTCAGTATCTGCAATATTGCCATGCTTGTATCAATTAACACAGAATGTCTTTCCTAGTTTTCTAATCACCCGGTTGTGAAGCAGAATTCTGACTTGTGAGAGTGTTAGAGTTTATATTGCTTTTAAATTATGTCTTCATGATATCTGCTTAATGTGTGAAGTTAGCCTGTTTGGTAAAACCTGTATGGTGATGACATGCAAAGATAACAGTCGTGGCAAGCTATTATCCGAACTCACATCGTTGGTCATGATAGCAAAGTGACACAACTTTGCAGGCAATTTGTGACACCCCAGACAGCTTAATACAGATATGACGTTCTAGTAGGGGCAGTTCACGTGTGGTGTTCCAATGTGGCATTGTGTGCATCCTAACTTATCAGTTCTGGCCCAGTTTGTGACTGTTTCTGGTTATATTGAGTCCGACCCCAACCTACCCATCCCCCCTCCACAAGATCCTAACCTGTCTCACATGGATATCAATAAATAATCAAATCTTGATCCCGGCTATATCAGAGTGAATGAGTGAGTGTGTGAGTATGGATTTCAGTCCCGTAGCCAGCCGGGGGGTGGGGTGGGGTGAGGCAGTTGCCCCACTGGATTTTTATTTATAGAAAACAGTTTCATTTGAATCATAAAAATACAAGTTGGGGACAAGTGATACTTGTACAAATGTACTTCACACGTGCCAATGTGGGGAAATGAACCCAGGTCTTCAGTGTGAGAGGGCGAACACTTTAACTACAAGGCAACCCCACTGCCCCAGTCTCTAATCAGAGATCATAACCAGTACATACCTACCAGGGTTTCAGCCATATGATTTGCCAAAGGTAATAACATCTCCTAGAAGACCAAAATCATAATCATAGATATGTCCAGTGTCAAGACCATTAGATCAAGTCCTATGATTCTTTAATGTGTTCCAGTTGGCCAGCCGCCATAGCGATGATATCCTCTGGCAAGATCAATGTGAAGCCCCTGGTCACTCATCGCTTTCAGCTGGAGGAGACGATGGATGCCTTCAACACTGCCAAGTCTGGTGTTGGGGTCAAGGTCATGATAAACTGCGAAAGACAATAACTAATCAATGTGCCAGGAGTACTTTTGTAAAAAAAAATGTGTAGCTACAGGTTATCTCCCTTGGCTTAGGAGTTCAAATGGAGATAGAAATCTTTTTCAAGGCAGAATGATGAAGCTGTAGTCCTGGAACTTTTTGTAATCTATGATGATTGTGAACTGTAATATATAGTTTATGTACATGTATGGAGACTTTCTGTTGGATGAAAGTACTGATAAAGGTGAATTGTGAGAAATTGTATCTTATGTCATCGTGTCTTTGTTTAATTAGTTTAAATGGCAGTGACAGATGGTTCACAAACCATGACAATATCCTGATTAAACGATTCTCGCAAAATGTACAATTCAATTGAGAAAACATTATAGTGCTGTGTTTAGTTAATGCCTACACCCAAGTCATGAAAAGAGCATTTAATGGCTACCTGTACGAACATGATATGTGTAATATCCACAAGTTTGTTACATTGGTATTCATTAAGGATATACATGACAATAACTGAATTCTAACTAAGTAAGAATCTGTCTGTACTATTCACATCATACTCAAATATTCAAGACATCAGGGGAAATCTTTAATGAACACCCCTCATACATGACAAGTAAGTCAATGTGGGTATATAATGGTTTATTCCAGTTGCAACTGAACTACACTCTTGGAAGTTGAAAATGCGATGTTTAATCTCATTATCTGCATGACCCCACAAGAATTATGCTGGGTATATTAAACAGACAGTGAATTGTGAACTTATGTAACCAGATCATTCAAGATAGAAATGCTCTTGACGATATCCCCTTCTCCATGTCTAAGTGGCAGGACTACTTGACTAGAAGCAGCTGATATATTTCATTTACCCTAGTGAAATCAAGGAGTCCTCAATACATAGCAGCCAAACGACCTCTTCAAATCTGGACTGACAACCCAAGTAGATGTAACCGATAGTTGGTTTTATTAGATGTAATTTATTGATACCTACTTGGGTGTCCCACTTCTTTTGGATTAGATCTCGGATGTAACATCTGATCACAGGTTTATAATTGCTGTATGGAATTAGAATTAGAAGTCCTTAGTGAAATGATCTCTTCTTCCACAGCCAGACTTACAAGACTGATGATTTTCAGGCTCTTCTTACCAGTATATCAACATTATATTTCAACAAGCGAGGGACTTGGCTTCACTAACAGTATGCTAGACAGAAACTGTCCCTGTTTCCAACATGTGGTAATAAAATAATACATCCGAGGTATATCTTATTTCTGGGAAACAGCATCTTGGAAAAGAATTGGAACAAAAGACAGAGGTTCCAAATTTCTTATTCTTTCTTCCAATTGCATTAGGTACTGTCAGACTTCATATTTTATCATAATAAAACTAAGACTGCTCCAGCATTAATGCAAGCATGACTAGACTCCAATCTAGTCTTCAGCACTAACCACTTGGCTATTTATCCTGTTTTCACACTGGACAGGTGGAAAAGCAACAGAACACAAGTAAGACATGAATAGGTTTTATTTTTTTCACATTTGGTAAGGTAACAATTTCCTAGCATGCCTAGTGTATTGTTTTATAATTTACAACTAGTCAGAGCAATGTTGATGTTGTTTGTACATGGCTTCAGTCAACTTGACAAAATATTCACTTCAAACTAAACAAGCTGATGGTTATGCCTTGGCCAGTCCCCGTAAATCAGCAATGCATTTGGAAATACTCTCCTTCTCCTGCAGAAGAAACAACACTTTTATGAGCAAGAGAATAACTGATCACATGAGCATCTGTTCTCAAAACATAACATTCCACTGTTTTTATATACACTACAAGTCTGTTACATACCATACACTCAAATGTTAACACCACCTAATAATACTAGAGTAACATGAAGCTAAATATTTAAAGTTTAAAAAAAAAGTTCAACCAAGGCCTTTTATGCTCTGTGGAATGACCATCAATCCACCATGTTAAGGTAAATGTGAAACTGACAACTGATCATCCCAGGTAGTGCTCCTCAAAGTACTTCTATATTTAACTGAACGTGGGCACCCTGGATGCAGTAACCATGGTAACCGCGAGAGTTATATGACTACGGAATGTAAATAATCAAGTCTGGACCAGACAATCCAGTGATTGACATGAGCATCGATCCATGCAATTGGGATATGATGACAGGCATCAACCAAGTCAGCAAGACTGACCACCAGCTGAAGTTGCGGAAAACCCATCGTGACCTTGATCTTCACAGGTGGTAACAGTGAGTGAGTCGAGTTTAACGCTGATATGAACAGTATTTCAGTTGTGCCAAAGTGTGTCAGGGTGATGTGGGAGGAAAGCCTAACGTGATACCGGTCTTAGACGTTCACAAATTTGGGAAAACACACACACATAGGTATGGTGTTGACAAACCTAGAAACATAATCAGGGCCAATTGGAATCTGTACACCATGTACACACGATCATAGGGTTCTGGGATACACCACTGTACAGCAAATTCAGACAGGGCTAGTGAATGAGTTTATGAAAACTGTTATTTGCTTCAGACCCATGTGATTTTCATAACTGATCACAGAAAATATCCACATACCATCAAACACTGTATATTCATTACACTGCATGCATTTTGGTCACTATTGCTTTTAGTACAGTGAATGGAAATTGTATTTGATGACAAGCATCTTTACAATATCCTTGGAGAGGAAGGGGATCTCACTACATTAGTCATGGGTACTTGTCAGAGATAATGTCAGTACTCATAAAGTATTATCAGCCTAAATCACAACATATTCATTCTCCCCTTGAAGTGTGTTGAGAGGGCAAACTGGACTGACCTGCTGAGGTGTGATACTCTTTGTGACGCTATCTACAATCCAGCGGACCATGTGCTCTTGTTCAAACCTCCTCTTGGTCGACTGCAGCTCGAGCTGGTAGTCCTACAAAAAAACAAAAGGATTTATTGTTGATTTGCTCTAAACAGTGAACTCAACACCACCACCAGGTGTCTATGTAGGATTCATAATCATATGCATTTTATCTACTTCACATCAAGACAGGATCGTAAAACAGCTCAACACAATTACACATTGCACCAGCATCCATGAGTGAGTAAAAGAACGTGGGGGCCAGTCAAACCAGTGGCTGACAGCATAAGCAACAATCCATCCAAGTGGCAAGAAAACACAGCATCAGTCAGGTCACCATGGTCACACATTGTACATGGTGTTTGTTTGTTTGTTTGTTGTTATAACGCCCAGCAATATTCCAGCTATATGACAGCGGTCTGTAAATAATCGAGTCTGGACCAGACAATCCAGTGATTAACATCATAAGCATCGATCCATGCAATTGGGATCGATGACATGTATCAACCAAGTCAGCAAGCCTGACCCCCCGATCCCGCCTTTTACAACAAGTATGGGATGCTGAAGACCTATTCTACCCCAGAATCTTCACGGGTCAATTGTACATGTAACCACCTGATCCCCATGCCTAGGGTACTGGGAACTGTATGTGCCCAGAAATGTAAGCTGTGAGGCTGAATCGGTAGGGAAAACTCACCAGCCTCTTCTTGACCTCATCATAGACTGTCTTCAGTCTCTGTCTGTAAATGGATTCAAGCTGGAGGTCAACATTCTCCTGAAAAATCAAACACATAAAGAAGTTATGGCACCAATTTTCGACCTCAGCCTCGATAAGTATCTCTTAGGTAAGCTTGCAAAGTTTCATTCATGTAACTACAGTAATTTTGGAGAATACATATCCCCCATTGCAGACACTATGCACTAACTAAAATAACTTCAATCAAGGTCCGTAACTGTAATAAAAGTAATTTATCGCACCATCTTTCGAACTCAGTCTTGACAAGTATCTCTTAGATAAACATGCAAACTTTCATTCATGTGACTTCAGTAGTTTCTGAGAAACCTGTCTCCATTGCACATACTATGCACTAAGTTGAAAAGCACAGAGGAAGGGACATAACTCTGTAAGCTTGCAAAGTTTCATTCATGTAACTTCAGTAATTTCTAAGAAAATGTATCCCCCATTGCAGACACTATGCATTACTGGTAAGTAAAATAACATGTCAAATCAAATGGGAGGATCTGACTATTTACTGAAATCATACAACTGGTGTAACTATTCAAATTTGCAGAATAACCTGGATCACTGCCATCAACATGCACAAATTGCTGTATATTTAGCTTACCCTTTTAGCCTGGAAGATGTATTTTTGTCCCTCTTCCTGCCAGATAGTCTTCTCACTGGCAGTGATGACATCTTCGTACACCTTCTTTGCCTCTGTGATGGGCTTGACGAAACGTTCCTCAGCAGCTACCTGTGGATATTACACTAACATTTCAATCCAAACGGAAGAAATCCCATTGAGGTATGCTGTCATGATGCTTTTAGTAATGATATTAATACAGTGAAACACTACTTATCCGGAAACCTTGCCTAACTGACTATATATACGTGAAACGAAACTAATGCATCATTTATCCGGAAATCTCGTTTTCAGATCGGGACAGTCAATTTCAATAAACAACAGTGCAAAATACACACTATTGACTCCCACTTTCCAGACAGCGACCAAGCTTAACGATGTGTTTTGTCATTCATTATCCGGAACCCAACATCAAAGGGGTGTGTATCATGTTACGACAGTGTCAAAATAATCCTGTTTGTTATACAAACTGTTCATTGTATATCTGGGCTTTTGTTTGTAATCTATTTTATTCATTTTATTCAAAATTTAATTTTTCAATATTGTTTACATTAATTTCTCAGAAATCGTGTGTGAACTGATCGGCAGATTGCATCAACTCACCGTTATTTACAGCAACCACGATCAAATTAGTTATTAACAAGTTGAAACGAATGTTAGTTGACAGAGGTGAGGTGAAATGGGGTTTAACGTCGCATCCAAGATTATTGCACAGAGCGACATGCGTGTGTGTGACTCTTTGTTGTCTGAACAAATGCTGATTTTATAGTGCTAGCCCACTGAGCATGCTGAGATACCATGCCGCAGTTTTAACATGAATACCCCACTCAGACAGAATACTGACCCCGAGCCGACCAGTCCTTGTTTAGCCTTGTTTTACAAGTTTTATATAGTTTTAAAAAGATGACAAAGGTTTTACTTTTCTTTCCCATTTACAAAACAGTCCAATATAGTGGATTAGTGAGTGAGTGAGTTGGGTTTAACACCGCTTTTAACAGTATTCCAGTTATATCGCGATGTGTATAGTGGATCAAATAAAGCATTTGTAAATCACTGTATTGTACAAGCATTTGTTTATCAAGGTATTAATTGTAAACAGGTCTGTATATCACTCCAAAGTAGTACCCACCGCATTTCTCTCATCAATATATTTGCCAAGTTTTGATCCCAGTTTCCTGTTGAGGATGTAGAATGCTGCCCAGAATCCAAGAACCTCAGCAAAGTTGTGGTCAACAACCCAGACTTCCTTTGAAAGTAAGTAGGCGAGCAAACCAGTCCCGAAAAGGTAGGGTCCTGCAAATGAGACAGTATTACTAATTAAGTACCCCAGTCAGAGCTACAGATAAGCAGCGTATTTGCATAAAGGACCCCCCACACCCAAATATTAAAAAAACGAATTACTTTCAGTTAACTTGCGTACAGAAACTCATACATTAAATGAAAAACTCAAATGTATAAAAACAGCTCGCGTAAATACCCAATGAAGCTTTTTCAGCATGTTCAGCATCTGTACAAAGGAGCTAATTTCCGAAACACAATAACGACTTTATATACTTTCAGAGGTAAGCCTATATATTTAGAACAGTCACATACGTCTAAAACATTATTACATTTTTTAAAAATCTTTTTAAATCTTAAATGTTCACTAATTTTGGGAAATACCCAATGAAGTCATGAATAGATGAGTGATAAA